TTAGGCCGCTACCTGCAACGACATACCGGTGAGAGGGCGGCAGACTGCTTCTGTACATCTGCGGGATGCGGTGTTCTTTGTGTATAAATCGTTTCAGGGGCAAGGCGGAACTCTTGTCTCGTGTACGCACAGTCCAGACTATAGTCATTTAAAAAATGTGAAGAATAAATCCTTCCCTAATTTCAGTTTAATTTCTAGTTAGTGCGCCCGACAATGACACCCCTACAAATCTATATCTTGCCTTGAAAGTTTGTTGTTTATTTTCACTTTCGCAAAAAAAATATTCGGCCAGGCTGCTGGATCATGACCCGGTCATTATCTAGCCATAACTGTGTGATTACCGAGTCGTGATCGTGCATGACCGGGTCACGATGAGTACAGTAGACCATGCGAACGAGACATGATCATGTCATTACCCCCATCGTGACCTAACCACGACCCGATGGTCTGCATTAGATTTATTACATCAACGCCAGCCTAGCACGTGTGCCGGGACACCCACCTAGACGGAATATGCCGAACACGTACGCCAATGTCGGCACCCCCACCTACCAGGTAGAACTTGTTCACCCGGCGCCAACCTAGGACCTATCGTGTGGGTTTGGGTTTGAGGTTACGTTTTCAGCCGGTGTCCCTTCCAAAGCAGACAATTCAATACCGATTCATGATTTTGTCACGACCGAGTCATGGCCAGTTCATGACCCGGTCATGACCAAGTCATGACCGAGGCATGACTCGGTCATGATCGAGATCATGACAGAGGTCATGACTCCATCTCGACGACTGGTTCATGACCAGCTCGTGACCATGACTATGTCATGACACCAGTCATTATCAGTTCATAGGTCATGACCGAGTCATGATCGAGAAGAATGTCAAATTTCTAGTCCCCCAGTTCGTCTCATCCTCCACCAGGTAACCTCAATATCAAGCTGCATGTTGTTTCTATGTGTGTCTTGTCCTTTCACATCTGTCGCTCTGCTGGAATTCCTACAATACAGTAGTTCGAAGAATTTTTCGCCCGTCTCCCCAGCAATCAAAGATATCAAGTACCTACCTAGTTACTTTCGTGTTTTTGGAAGACAATTATTCATGATGCTTGCACCACTATTCTTATCTCGAACGTTGCCCCGCGTCTTCCCGTCTCACATGGCCAACCACCAGTAGTTCCGCATCGCACAAGAACGGCCTGTTCGTGAAAATGGCCGTACCGTGGGTGGGGTCCCGTCTGGCGGGTTGCGCCCTGTACTTCTTCCTTTTCGCATCGTTCGGGAGCCTGACGCCATTTCTTCCGCTTATTTGGCGAAGCAAGGGGCTCGCTGGTGAGCGCGTGAACCCGGAATTTTCACCATTGTCTGGTTTTGAACACCTCCGCTGTGCGCAGAGTATCCGTGCCATGTTGCCTCCAGGATACCTCCAAGTCGCATGGATACGGCTGCACCATCGTCACGTGTTTCTTCCCCCCCCCCCCATGTGTCGTTCTGTCGAACGGCGCAGAAACTGAGGTCGGTTTACTGGCAGCTGTTCGGCCTATTTCGGTTATTCTAGCGGGGCCAATCATCTGCGCGTTCACAGACAAACACGGCGTTCAACAGGCGGTGAGACAAGTATTGGATACATCGAGCTGCTCTCGTCCTTTACTCTCACCGGATATGCGCCGACTGCAAGATTGGTCGTTTGCGCGGTTCTGTCTGACCCTGGAACAGGATGCGGTCGCGCCATGTGCAACTCGAAAGTCTTGAATGTCACTCGAGCACTAGAACGATACTATTGTATGGGGGGAGCAAGCAACATCCAGAAAGTCAAGTATAGAAACCACTTCCGCCACAGGTTTTGATCCACCCGTAGATCCCCACCTCTCTCATGTTCCTCATTGTCTGGCATTTCGTTTGATACCGATGCTCCGCCACCCCCACCGTGTGCTGAGGGGATTTGTCTAGGCGCTGTACGTGTTGCTACTTCTGTTCGCCATCACCGGCTCAACCGTTCTGTTTGCGGGGAGCTTTTCTGCTCTGGCTGCGGTGGAGCTATCGTCTTCCGTTTCTCGAAGTCCAATTGTGAGCCTCATTGACGCAGCCGTGAGGAACGCCTTTGGATCGGGCGGGTGAGTCGGGGGCCGCTTGGTGAGCTTCGCATGGATCTGGGAGCAGCAAGATAGTTATTCTTGCAAGATGGAGATCTTGATTGCCACCTGCTGCTATGTACACTAGCTGATGTTGGGATCGATATTTGTAACCAATGGTGTGGAACCATGGCCAGCACCCATCCCATGCATCCGAAGCAGTGGCTTTAATCCACTGGTCCTTTAACACACACAAATCAAGCCAAATGGTTGTCAGAAAAAGAGTGCCACACGCGAAAAGAAGTCACCCAACGCGAACGAAGACAAATGGTATGGCCGTGAGTGGAACGGAAGGTCTAGCACATTTCGAAGGCTCAAAGATGAAGTCTTCGGCGTTAAGCAGTTACAACCATATATTATCTTATCTGACACCGTTCGGATAACTCGTTTCCCTGCTACGCGTCGAGCTCCATGCTGGTTGTTCCCGACCGAACAACCACAGGTGCACTATTCTTGCAGTGTTTGTGGTTGGACCATACGGACACGACTTAGGCTACCGCCCCTTGTCCTGCTCCACGATTACTCTCTCCGCGTGTGCTTCGCTGTACCGTTGTGCAACACGCTTTCATCTCTGCTCTTGTACGCAACGACCAACCTCTCGGTCCTCTACACACCTGAAATCTCCGAGGTTATCCTACAGGTGTCGTTAACCTTGCCTCCACATTGCGTCGTCCTCCTTCCATGTTCCGAAGGTACGGGACACAGAGATCGTGGGGTGCAGCAGGCTACGGACTTTCGACACTCATCAGTGGCATTGTGTATGGCATTGCCCGGGGTAGCTACGCCGGCGTGGTGTCTGTATACGTGACAGTCTTGGCGATGGCATTGGTAGCGGCCCTCGGTGTTCCGGTTGGACCGACCGCTGAACCAGCCGGTGGCCAAGAAGATGAAAACCCGTGGCGGTACGTTCTTGTCTGTGTGTGATTCCGAGCGATCGTAGTGGTGGTGGCCAGGCACGTATTGCATCCACGCGAATGGAGCGTAGGTCCGCCTCAAGCAGCCAACAAAATGCCATGATGGTACCACAAACGTTCGCGATCTGAAGAAATATAAAACGTTTTTTCCTGACAAACGAACACTTGGGCTATGGGCAAAAATATTCTCTCCGTTTCTTATCTTCGGTGAAACTGCCTCCGCTAGCTCAATCGGTGTGTGATGCAGTAGAACACATACACACATGTGATGCCTTGTGTCCGGTGTATCATGGCGCATGGCTAGGACGAGGGCACACTCAAGCGGTGTTTTCAATTGGTTTGAGGCCCAAGCGGTCTGGATTGTAATCCTGTTGTACATAGTCTCGTTGGTCCTACGACTAAACGGATGGACCTCCCGAGTAACGCCATCTGGGCCTTGCCATACACGTGAGACACCATACACAACTAGGTTTTGACACTACAAAGGTCTGTTGGGTTTCGAAAGTATCGGGATGTTGTTCAAGAACTTGTTTTGTTCAAACGTCTTTCTACCGTAGTCTAATGGTAAAGAAGCCTACGCAGCAAACGTCATCAGGTGTCTGTTTGAGCTCGGCCTCATCGAAATTCGCGTTCGAGCATTCTTTGCTTGGAGCTAGGTGGCGTATTCACCTAAATAGTAAAGTCTCACCATTCTGTGCATGTGTTCGGCAGCAATCGATCAGGAACCAGTCACAACGTTTCCATCCATAGAGAAACAGAGCTTGCCGAAAACGGATGCGCGAGCGACGACGAGGCTACCGACACCCGCGCTGACATCGGAATCAATGCTGAAGATCTGGGGAACGAGGATTTGAGCTATCCACTGCAAGACTTGGAGCAAGAGGAGCATGGTGTGGCTTCCGCCCTCTGGATTATGTTCAGTACGCCGCAGAACATTTCGTTTTTTTCAGCGGTCTTCCTCAGCGGCATGACGAAGGGCGTGATCGACACCTTCCTTTTCATCTGGTCAGTGCACTGCACATCGACACAAGTACCATCGCCGCCATTTCAAGGTTGATTTGTTTTTTTCGCTCACGGCCTCCAGCTGAACAAACGAGTAGCATGGTGTACATCGTTTCTTCCTCGATACGCACCTGAGCCTTAGTTGCATCTGCTTTTGCTCTTCTCACACAAAGCTACGTTAGACCGGTGGGGTATCAGCTATGTAGGTTGAATGTGGCTGTTGTGGGGGGTACCCGAGTCCAAGGCCCGAAGCCGTACTTGCAGATTGTGCTCCCCGCCTCGAAATCACCTCCTTCGCCGCGCCTTGTTGCTGCGTTGACGTACGCCGAAGACCAGCTTTCAGTGGAACAATATCGTCGTGTGTGTGTGTGTGTGTTCGTTCCAACTATTTTGGCGCCACGTCTACACGCCTTTCGGGGTATATATCCGACGTATCAGCCGTGGTCATACAAGAGGAAGGTCGCACAGGAACGTTTTTATTGTTCATGTCATTGTCTATCGTAGTGAGGGGGAAATGCCGTAGGGGCTTGCTTTGTGGGTGTATAGCAAAGATTCTTGCAGCATAGTGGTGCGACACACGCGAAATTATTGATTTGTTCGACGGCCGCTGGGCCGTGGCTTGGTATTGCCAAGACTCGCCCGTAACGGCGTCGTTCGATAACCCTCCGTCCTAAGTCTAGGAGCGAAGGACTTACACGCTGAACCAGAGGTTTACCCGCAGTAGCCTGAAAACGGTTTATTTTCTGTCGGTGCTGGCTGGATCGTTCTGGGTGATGTAACATTCACGTTCTTGGTTGAGTATTCGGAATCGATACTCCTTAAGGGCAGGGTGGGATGCACGATGTTGAAACCTAACAGCCCCACCTCGATCCCCCCTTTACGCTTGGACGATTTTCGCTGGGCCATCAAGGTTGGATGAGCTAGGGAGCTCTCACTCTCTCCTCGGCCTTGCTGGACTTGCAATGAGTTTTTCCGAAGTGCCGTTCTTCTACGTTTCGGGACCTTTGATCCGGACAATTGGACCGAGAAACGTAGTGGCCCTGTCCCAGATTGGATACATCGTGCGGTTAATCTACTACTCGGTGCGTACCCCCGCCTAGTGAAGAGGGTCATTTGGTGATGTTGGAAGAGAGTTGCCAGCGTGATCATTGTGAACTTATTTGTGGTTTTCATGACACGTCCGATACAAACTGACGTCCGCAAGGGTTGGCATTGAGGATAGCCATACAACGCGAGTACTACCAAGACTGCCCAAGTCCAGCGTTGCCCTCCTCCATGGCCTGAAGCCCGCTATGTACGCGAAACCCCAAAAACATGTTTGGTATTGTTGAGTCAAAAGGGGACCCACCTTCCGTCCGTCCTTCCCCCCCCGCCTTAACTCCATTCAGAAGATGTCCGCGACTAATCTTTTCGCTGGTTCTTCGTCATCCTCAGCTTCTGTGGGAAGCCAACCATTGGACCCTTGACGCCCGTATTTTTCCCACCGCCTTAGCCCCATTCAGAAGACGTCGTCAGTGACTAACCCTTTGACCGGTCTTCGCCACCTTCAGGTTCTGTCGGACCCATGGTGGGTACTTCCGGCGGAACTTTTTCATGGCCTAACGTTTGCTGCTATGTGGTCAGCCACGACCGACTATGCCCACGGGATTGCGCCAGGTATGAACGAGGGAGACGATTCGTCCCTGCGTGCGTAGCAGGACTTTTCCATGATGCCCACAAGAACCCTAACGTATCACCTGGCGACCATCCCGGGTTCGCTTTGCTCGGACTGGTGATGATGGAATGACCCTCCAGCTTGTGTATTTGATTACTGGCCAACATTCCTTCCTTGTATCCTTCAGGCTCCAAAGGTTTCCTTCTCACAAGCTAACGCTACAAGTACAGGACAATAGTAGAGGACTGGCCAGCCACAAGGCGTATTGTAGCGCTGAGTCAGTGTTTTTTTTCGTATAGCACCGGCCGTGGTCTCCGGTTTCGAGTGAATGCCACGAGAGCTATATCCACCTGGGTTTCTCAGGAAGGAGGCGGGTTGCAATCGGGATGACTGTTCCGGCGCCCCCGATTCCAGTAGAACAGCGGAGACGCACCTATCGCGTCGATCTGTGCCCTCCACGCATGAGCCCATCGGCTATTCATACGGTTCATCGAATTTCCGCGCGCATGAACACGGAAGCCGCCCGAATTCAGGTGGACCAATACGGGTATTAGAAAGTACTGCGTAGAGATCGGGCCGACTCTCAATGTGAAGACACAACCAACTACAACAACAGGGCCGTCCCCGTGACACTCGAGGGCCCCCATGTCTGGTGGACCACGACCGACGCGCGGGAAGATCCCCGCGCCTACCATTGCAACGGTTGTGCTGATCAACGGAACAACAATGCGCGCCTCCCCGCCCTTGTTTACGGCCAACTCCGACTGCATTCCCGCGTGCCACGTCAATTGTACGCGTCCTGGTCCGATCGAGCCGCCCAGCACATTTGCGCACGACGATGCAAGCTTCGGTCGGGGGCCTCAAGCGCGGGTTGGGGTACGGCTTAGGGGCCATCGTCGGTGGAGTCTCGTACGCCAATCTCGGCCCGAGGCGGTGTTTTCTAGCCACCGCCGCTCTGCCCGCTTTGTCCCTCCTGTTTCTTGTCATTCTTCCCCGGATCAACATCGTTGGAGGCTTGCGGAAGCAGGGGGCGGGCAAAGAGGGGCTGGAACACTGGGAAGCAACAGATTGTCACGAGGTCAGCATGAGTATTGATATGTTTCAGTCTTGCGGGGCAGGTATGGTGTTGTGAGTTCCAGAAATAGCATTTGCGTTTTTGTCGCCGAAAAAACCACAACCATGGTCGAGGTGAGTACCTCCTTGGTGATGGAGCGGCCCACCCACTCTCAGACCCGCCAGAAATTTCAGCGGTGAACTCGAGCGTTACGTACATTGAGTGCGAGATAAATCATACGTCGTGTAGATATTCGCACTGAGCACTCGCTCATCTCATTGTTGTTGTTGTTGTTGCTGTTGCCGTTTGAAGTTGTTGTCTCACTAGCATAACGTGATATCCAGTGCATACCTTTTCGCCATGCTTACGTATCCGGTAAAGGAAGTACTCTGCCGCAAAAGGTCGATTCTATCAAAATATTGCCATGCGGTAGAAACAGATCCAGAGGGAGCGCTACGTTTCGCAAACATTGAAAGAGTATTACACATGAGAGACGATTGTGTAGGGTGGGGCATAGAGCCCAAATAGAAGAGCAGAGTCGATCGTCCAAGTCGGAGGCAGACCAAAAATCAAGATCGTGCTGCATGCATCCGCAGCAAATATGCCTCTCCGAAACAAAGTGGACAAGAGGAAGTCCAAGAACAACATCAACCAGTTGCAATAGCATTGAGTGGCGTTATTTTATTGCCACTCATGTACTGTTTGCCCGCTCAACGTAGACACCGACCGGCAACTGTAGCGCAGCATGCGATTTCCTGCTATGTTCCCGAGAGTTGCGACCGAAACGGGTACCGAGCCGCTGGCGACGCATTTTTTTAGGCCTTATCAAGGTGATCCACTTCTTGAGAGGAAAACATCATCACCAGGAAACGGCAGCAACACTACTGTACGCGTGCTACGCTGCCCGGCTGAGCGCCCCCCATCAACGATCTGACTTCATCTTGCACAAATGGTCCTTGATCCGTTCTTGTGTGGGATCTCCGCAGGCCGGCAAGATTTGTGCCAGCGGCGAATTCGAGCACAAGAACATGGACGGTGTCGAGATCAGACAAGAATAACGCCAAAGGTGGCTATTGGCATGCCTTCACAATACCGATCGGGGGCGCGAAAACCCTTTGTGGTTGAGTTGGCGAGGTCCTTGTTATTGGCTCAGTTCTCGGAATGTGTAGCGGGGCGGGAGCGCCGGCAACGGTCGCGACCAGTGCCTCCTTTGTGGGGGTGGTGACATCACCATGGCTCCCCGCAAATTAGGCTTCCGGTGTCGTTGCCTCCGTAGGATTGTCGTTGGTGTTGCTCGTGTGTCTCGTTGTTCTTGGTCGTCATATTTGCGTATCGGTTGTATATCTCTCAAGCACAGGAGCTTGTTCCTACACCTTTTGCGACACATTCTCTCTCGTCGGGCGTCCGTCCTCTGACTCGACGACGCCTTCGTCCTCCACCCCGATGTTCTGGGTGATACAATGATGCTGCCCCCTGGCACGCATAATGGTTTGCGCGGCCCAAACCTAACCGTGTAGTTTCTAGGCTAATGCACATGAAATAGAGATGCCGAATTCGCCGAAAACTTTTTATCTCAACCCGCGGTCGCTAAACCTTTGACAGGATCTATTCCTAACCCGTCAGTTCTCGATCCCCGGTGCCAAGCCTCCAACCACAACCGCTTCCGCCTCTGCCGAAACACCCGACGCCCCTACTTCAGCCAAGGGAGGTCCGCCTAAAGACCTTGAGGATTATGCTGCCAGATAGGGTCCCACCCGCCAAGGCTGCTGAGATGGCGGCGGCTACCCGCTGTTTCGGGAGATAAATGAATCAAGTTTTTCTGCCGTCGTTGCCGGCATGTGTCTCTCCTGACGGAAATCACAAGTAGAACTCGAGTTTGAGGGAAGAAACCGCACACGTACACAGGGGTCTTCTCGCAAGACGGGTATTAGAGTGAGTGTGTGGTTGATTGTGACGCCCATTAGACAGGCGGGTTTTTCAGTCTCAATCTTGAAGAAGTTTAGGATGAACACATTGTTTCCAGCTGAAGGTTGTCTGTTAAGTGGTGCCTTTGGTCATGGCGAAAATCACCGTGATTGGGCGTCCAAGAACCACGGTTTTGAGTGATAGTGGCGCTGTCGTTCCCATTGATGTTTCTTCTCTGTAGTTGGATTCGAATGCGGCCGCGCGGACTCGCACAGACTTCGATTGGTCAGAGGTTTTACCAGCAATAAGGCCTGGTTCTGGTGTTGACAGAAATGGGCCCTCGCGTGATGTTCATTCAAAAGCAATGGAGTCGCATTGGCCAAATGAAGTCGCACGCACAGCATCATGCATGGCACGAGCGCTGTGTACAATGGAGAATTTCTTATTTGCGATATTGGTTGAGTTTTTCGTATTTTTGGTGCCTGTGGTGAGAGAACCTTTTTCTATGCTTGAAATAGAGGGGGCGTCCATCGCTGGGAGCTTGGAAACGCAAGGAGCGTTGAAGCGTCAGGTTCCCCTAAGCAAGTCTGCAGATAGGTTTATGAAACCGATTGGGACAGTATTGGGTTAGCTCGTAATCGTGTGATCATGACCGCTGGCACACTAAACCTAAACTTGCCCACCTAGCGCCAATCTACAGCACCCAGTGTGTGGGTTTGGGATTTCAGGGTTAGGGCTAACGTTAATGGTTTCAGCCAGCTCCATGCCCGCCGAAAGCAGAGAGCCTTATGTACCAGATTGCAAGGTGTAAATCAATCGGTCAAAGGTATAGACTAGCATGGAACAAGGTACGTAGTTTCTAGGAGGCCTTTGTTACAGGATTTGAGCTAACCCTATCCCTAACCCTTCGTGCGTCTGGTTCGTTGTGGTGTAAACTACTCGTTTAGAAGTTTTGGGTCGGTTGTGTTGGCTTTTCTTCCCGACTTCGTCTGTTTGTCATTGTCGTCCGTGTTTGGGCTTTTGTTGCCGGTTGCATAAGTGTTGCACTTCGTTTTGTTACGACTCCTTTTCCGCCCTTTGGACGATCGGCTTGTTGTCGTTTGGTATGTCGTTTCGGTCTATGTGCGACTTATTTTTCTTTTCTATTGCCGCGACTTAGGGCAGTTGGTTGATACTACGACCCCTTTTGTTTCGTCTCTGTGACGTTCGGTTTCTCACCGCTTGGTACGTCATTATGCTATGTTCGACTTTGTGCTTCTTTGCTTTTGGTCGTTCCGACGATTGGATTTTCTTTTCGACGGTTGAGTCTGGGCGAATGTGCCGCCTTTCGTTAGGTTATGGTCTACTCGTTTGGTTTCGTTTGGTTTCCAGTTCTATTCTCTTTGTCCTTTGGACCGTGCTTTCGCGTTCGTGTTCTACGACAATGGTCTTTGTCCATCTGATGTAGAGGTGTGGTGAGGGTGAATTGTTGCGTGGTGGAGATTTTCATCTTCGATTCATTCTCGAATCCTAGATTTGACTTGGTCATATGTATCCTGGGGTTTCTATGTATCTGCATCATATACGAAGCTCCCGGGTGGGCTAGTGTTATGGGACTTGAGTACAAGGATCTGAACGGTAGTTCTACAAGATGTTTAGATCTGGCGGGAACTGCAACCCCCTACGATTGCTGTCCAACAGGGGATATTGACGAAACGGTCCCTCCCGGCAAAGAGCGATCCGTGCCCCTGTCTGTTCAGTCTATCTGAAGCAAGGAGTCGGCAAGTGCGCTGCCGATATGAGAAAAAACATCTACAAGTGACACGTTTGGAGGCAGACTCTCAATACCCGCGAGGCGTATCCGTAGCTGTCGGCACGCTGGGACGCCGACAGCGGCATGGAGTGCTTGAAACCGTACATCTCCGCCGGCAGTTTTACAAAATGTCCTTGATCCAGCTCCGCTCCACCAGGTCCCGAACGGGTATTTCTAGCGCTTCGAAGGCACCGCCGCCGACAACGATGCTCTGCGCTTTACGCTGCCGCGATCGAGGGCTGCATCCCCGCCTCTGGACGCCCTAGATTCGCTAGATGGCACATACATATGCAGCATGTTGTCCACGAGCGTTTGGATTCCGTTGAATTCCGGGGCTGGCGCCTTGTGAATCGCGTCGAAGGTGGCGGGCGGCATGTGTTCGTATGAAGATGAGTCAACCCACTTGCGAACGTACCTGACGAGTTGTGCCAAGTCGTTTCCGAGAACCGTCGTGAGCTCATCATCACGCCAGCCCTGGTCCGGGACAAGGCCGTGGCGCTGCAGAACGTGCGCCCGAGCTGGGAGTTGGTCTCGTGAAAAGGAGGGTGAAGCCCGTACTACCGTGTACCAGTGTGCGCTTGAGAGGTGAAGAGGTCTGAAGTTGGGTTCGTACCGGGGTAAGTATGTAATCTTACATATAGAACCCCCTCGCGCACGGAAACTAGAGAATTCAATTACGGCTGATGACATAACGAAGTGACTCGCAGTCAGCCGAAGCACGGAGTAACTTGTACACCGTCGCCAGAAGGCTCTGGATCTCGCCAGGCGATTTATGTACCAATGTCACAGCAACGCGGGTCCAGAGGATACGGTTACCCATGTCCTTCCACTGGGCGGACATGTGGTCGGACATGGGTAACCGTGTCCTCTGGGAACTTCGTGCCCATGTCAGTGTACCGCGCACCCACAATCTTCACGGGTCCATTATGTCGGATGTTTGGAAGTCGGCCTCTCATGCGTGTGGGGGGGTTCCAGTCTACAGTACCCGGTGACGACCTTGATCTCCTCGTCACTTGTCAAGCACAACTGCTACACTACAGCCCGCGCCCTTCTGAGGCCGCTGAGGCCGCGGATATCCAACGTATATTAACCCTCCCCGTACCAAAAGTCCCTCGGCGAAAAAATAGTATCGCATAAATGTGTCAGTCATTGTTATTCGACTGCCTACTGTACCAAGCAGTACAGTCCCTCCAAAAATCTGAGCTCGTTGCCAGTTGCCAGACAAACGGTGGCTTGGCTCAGTATGAAAAGTGTCCCCAAAACACGCGGATATTTTTCATACTGAAGTCAAGTCAGCAGTTATCCAGTGCCAGTCGATCCATGTACAGTAGTTTTACGACCTACATATGCATACAGTACTCTAGGGGACACAAGGCTTGGGGATGGTGTACAACAAGTCAGAGGCCCAGGAGGGGCATCGCATAGCATGTCAAACAGCGCATCACCTCTGCCAAGCAGACAGATAGACCAGGGTTTTCACGTGCGTTCACACAGCGGAACCTAAAGTAGCGTGAACAACGGCGGTACATACCTAGGCATTTGAGTGCTGCTGTGTCCCCAAAGTGTCCCCATTCAAGGCAACCTTTCACAAAGAATTTTGAGCGGATCTTCAGACTGGTGCACCTGCTCCCCGCTGGAGTGTACGGCAGTACACATACGCGACACAACAACCGCGGAGGAACACGCATTTATACACACGCTTGCCGTGCTCGAGCAGTACCGCCACACAATCGGCACCTAACAGCCCTGCCACCGGTATGAACGAACAGTAGTGGTAGCAGACACAAATGCATTAGGTAGCGTAGGGGCCATCGAGCAGCGAGGTGTGGAAGTGACAAGAGCAGCAGTTCAAACAGAGCCAGCTCTTTTCTGGATTTGTGCAGCGGATCTTGACGACTGTTGCACTCGGTCCAACATGCTACACACGCCCCGGTCGTCTAGTTGGTATCCTCGAAACCTTCTAGAGGTCAGGTCAGGGGTTCGAATCCCGGCGTAAGCGAGCTTTTCTTGCCAAGTGAGTTTTTCTCTCGCTGCCGCTTCTGGCCTAGTGGATAGCGCTATATAGTTCTTGTGTACACAGAGGGAAGAGAGTGCTGCACTCTTCTCGCATTAAAAATCGAAGGCAAAGTACCGCAGGAGGGGAAGGTAGAGAGGGGCTCTTCACTGGTGTGACCATGGGTTGGAGTAAACGGCACTACGTAGTGCTGTTAGCGCTGATTTGAAGTGAAGACAAAAAAAAAAAAAACACCAACGGCGGAGGAACCCGGAGGAACGCACGCAACAACACTGCAACACTGCGCCGACACAACGCATATGATCAGCAGTGGCGGCAGACATGAATGATATCCTTCAATACGGCCATAGATAGGTCAATCTGCCATGCAACCCGGCGTGAAGGTAGTTGTCATTTGGTGATGATGCCATTTCAATTTCTTCGCGTTATTGTTCTGATGCCATGTTGCAAATTCTTCGTGTGTGTCAAATTCTTCACTCTTCGTCACGCTTCTCTTCTTTTTTGTGAAAGTGAACAGTTCTCTTCTTCCACTACACGCACGGCACTACAAACCACGCAGCACGAGTGTTGACGTGTACCGCTGTACACTGCACGGATTTCTGACGACGAGATCCCATGTGTTGGCATGTGTGCGCACCAACACACCCGGCTCCGTCTGGATATCCGCGAACATCCTGTGCAGACTCAAACCGGAGAGGATCGGTTGCTAGCTGTTTTTTCGGCCAAGACCGGTGTCGAGACGTTCTCAAGGCGAGAGGTGAGAGAGCCAGAGGGGGAAATGACACGACCAGAGTAGTCGCACAAAAACGCTGCTGCTTGGGAATGGGTGTCTCGGCATCTCTGCATCCTGCAGCGTAGTCGGTTTGTTCCCTCTTGCGCTACATAGCTGCTGCGTTGCCTCCACAGCTGACGTGGCATTCCCCGTGGCGGTGGTTCCACCTGAGAAGGGAATAGCGAGAGGGCAAGCCACTACGAGAAGCATCGTTACAATGTACGTTTGTTTCTCTCGCACATAGTGTGGGCAACCACTTCTGTCTCCACGGCACTCGGTAAGAGGTACAGCACATTGTGCATCACTCCTATATAGGTATCTTCGCTATTGTTGATCGAGAGCACGCTCAACAAGTCAAGCACCCCACCCTCGGTGCTCTCGCTCCCGGGTTTTGGCAGAAGTAATCTACCGTCGGAAGGGGTGCGATGGCGTAACAGCAAGTGGAGGCCGATCACAACATCGTATACACAACCACCCGCACTCCGAATGTCTCCGATCCCCCTCCTACAAAGTGGGTGGGTACTCAGGCCATCGATACCTTCTACATGTGTCACGTTCGCCGCGGTTGATATCCACACGCCTGTGCTGCAGAGGAGCGCTGTACCGCCTTTCAGATCCGCTGGCCATAGGTGCAAATCACGGGGTGCTTCGCCTGTACTGCAACCGCCCTCGTTGATTGAGTTGCGCCGCAAAAAACGCGGAGATGTTAGATTTGGAGGTGTGTCTATCTTACCATGACCTATGGCTGACGTCTGATGTCTCAGCTGCTGGCCTCTCAATCCGATCATCGCGCACTATTGATCCTTCCATTCTCCTTATCTGCCCGCACGCTATTGCGATACATGACTACAGTAGGCAGTAACCGACCGTCTACGCACGACGACGGCGCCCTGCGGTCGGCCCCCCGCTGGCGGCAGGGTTAATTGATTGGAAGCAGGCTGGCCCCGCCTGCCACAACGGAGTTGCCGCGAGTGACTTGCCGTGGGTGACTCTTGAGCGTTCGTGAAACCCACACATATCCTAGAGGATGTCACGAAGACCTTCGGTCGAGACGGGCTTGAGGAGCGGCGGCAGCGGCCGAAGAGCAGCAGAAAATGACGAGCGCACGCCCCTGCTCTTCAGCAAATACCGGAAAGAAGACGATCATGACGACCACGACGACCAGGCCCCGCTCTTGTCCGGAGAACGAGACCCGCAGGAACGAAGCCCCTCCCTCCCCACCCTGAAGAAGCTCGACCCTTTCCTGGGGGATGGGCTCGGGGCGAGGACGGCGAACGCGATTGTGAGAGCAAGGGATCGCCTCGTGGAGACGCTGCAGATATGGATTGACCGCCACAGGAACAGGTGATAACGACGTTTGCACGCATAATATCTACGAGAGGCGGGTGGGGCAGTAAATATCTGGGCGCGCAAGGTCGGTCTTCTCGTTAATAAATGTTTTTCCAGTGTACAACAGTTTCCAAATCGTTTGAATCATATTGTCAGAACTCCATGGTCTGTCGTGGAATATTCCATGGAGGTCCATGGACTCCGTTGAATTTCCCATGGTATCCGTGCCAATAGTTCGGGTCAAGTGGAAGATCATGGAACAATCTCAACGTGATAGAATGCAATACACCCAGCCAGGGGTATATGCCAAAGGCATGCACATACCTGTTATGCTATTCACCATGCACGCACCCAGATAACTTGGCAGTCCCGCCTATCAATGCAGACCTGAACGAACACCAAGTGCGAGCGACCTAGACGTACTCCAACGACCGCCAACCTATCTATGTAGCACCTCCATCCAAGCAATACCATCCTAGAGATTATCCCATCAACATCAACATGAACCTGTAGCGCCAATGCTTGCACACCAACCTAGAATTTCGCGAGCTCCAAACTAGCACCTGTCGGGTGGGTTTGGGTTTGAGGGTACGGTAGGGTTTTCAGCCGGTGTCCCTTCCAAAGCAGAGAATTCGATACCGATTTATGATTTTGTCACGAGCGAGTCATGGCACCTGGTCATGAACTAGGTCATCGACACGCAGTCATGATCAGTTCATGATGGTCATGACCGAGGTCATGATCGAAAAGAATGTCAAATTTCTACTTCCCCAGTTCGTCTCATTCTCCACCAGGTAAGCTCAATATCAAGCTGCATGTTTCTATGTGTGTCTTGTCCTCTCTCATCCGTCGCTCTGCCGCCAATGATCCACCCATCGCTCTGCTGGAATGCCGACAGTAGTTTTACCAAGTCTCGCCCGTTTTCCCAGCAATCAACGAATACTGTTGTATTCTTGTCCCTTACCTAGATCATTCAATGTAAGTATTGGATTGGGTAGGGTAAGGCCTCCTGCACCGACAGGAGGGCCTCGCCGTGAAGTAACTCTTCGGGCTGGGCATACAGATCGCAATATGCCCAGACCCGAAGCGTTTGAATGATCAGCAAGTTCATGAATAAAAACAGTATTCGTAGGGCGGGTGGGATGGTCTCAAATATTTCTTCTTTCTCGATAGCTCCGGCGTATTTCGGGAGAGAGAAAGGGGACTGAACAAGGAAGAGTCATTTTCCAACATGCTTCATGGGATATCTGACTCTTCCCGATTTCGTTCCGAAATCCGGATTCGTCTCAAATCCGAGATTACTGAAAAGGGCGATGATATTCAAACTAAATACTGTTTTGTGGTTTTGGTAGACAATCACTTTTATTATCTCGAACGTTGCCCCGCGTCTTCCCGTCTCCACATGGCCAACCACCAGTAGTTCAGCATCACAAAAGAACGGCCTGTTCGTGAAAATGGCCGTACCGTGGGCGGGGTCCTGTCTGGCGGGTTGCGCCCTGTACTTCTTCCTTTTCGCATCGTTCGGGAGCCTGACGCCATTTCTTCCGCTTATTTGGCGAAGCAAGGGGCTCGCTGGTGAGCGCGTGAACCCGGAGTTGTCACTTTTATGTAGTTTTGAACATATCCGCCGTGTCGTACAGTGTCCGCCTATGTTGCCTCCAGGATACCTCCAAGTCGCGTAACTACGGCGACACCATCGTCACATGTTTCGTTTTTCCCCCATGTAACGACGCAGCCACCGAGGTCGGTTTGCTGGCAGCTGTTCGGCCCATTGCGGTTATTCTAGCGGGGCCAACCATCTGCGCGTTCACAGATAAACACGGCGTTCAACAGACGGTGAGAGAAGTATCGGACACGTCGAGATGTTCTCGTCCTTCACCATCGACAGATATCCGCCGGCTGCAAGATTGGTCGTAGATGCTGCGTGTTTCTGTCTGACCCTGGAACAGGATGCGGCCGCGCCATGTACAACTCGAAAGTCTTGAATGTCACTTGAGGACTAGAATAATACTATTGTATGGGGGCAGCAAGCAACATCCAGAAAGTCAAGTATGGCAACCACTTCCTCCACAGGTGTTGATCCTTCCGCAGAATCTCACCACTCTAATGTTCCTTGTCGTCTGACATATCTGCTTGACATCAATGCTCCGCCACCCCCACCTTGTGCTGAGGGGATTTGTCTAGGCGCTTTACGTGTTGCTACTTCTGTTCGCCATCACCGGCTCAACCGTTCTGTTTGCGGGGAGCTTTTTTGCTCTGGCTGCGGTGGAGATATCGTCTTCCGTTTCTCGAAGTCCAATTGTGAGCCTCATCGATGCAGCCGTGAGGAACGCCTTTGGATCGGGCGGGTGAGTCGGGGGCTGCTTGGTGTGCTTCGCATGGATCTGGGAGCAGCAAGATAGTTATTCTTGCAAGATGGGTCTTGATTGCCACCTGCTGCTATGTACACTAGCTGTTGTTGGGATCGATATTTGTAACCAAAGGTGTGGAACCATGGCCAGCACTTCCCATGCATCCGAGGCAGTGTGTTTGTCCACTGGTCCTTAGCACACACACAAATCAAGCCAAATTGGTGCCAGATAAAGAGTGCCACACGCGAAAAGAAGTCACCCGACGCGAACGAAGACAAATGGTATGGCCGTGAGTGGAACGGAAGGTCTAGCACATTTCGAAGGCTCAAAGGCGAAGTCTGTGACGTTAAGCACGACTTCTGGGAAATGCCCAGAGAAACTCTTAGCGTATATCCTCAGATTCCCTCGACAACGGCTGACGACGGACGCCAATCGTCGTGGTTTCGCCGGACATGTCAAGCTACCGTAGAAGCTATCTCTTATCTGAATACATTCGGATGACTCGCTTCCCTGCTACGCGTCGAGCTCTATGCCGATTGTTCTCGGCCGAACAACCACAGGTGCACTATTCTTTCAGTGTTTATGATTGGACCATACGGACACGACTTAGGCTACCGCCCCTTGCCCTGCTCTACGATTCCTCTTTCCGCGTGTGCTTCGCTGTTCCGTGGTGCATCACGCTTTCATCTCTGCTCTTGTACGCAACGACCAACCTCTCGGTCCTCTACACACCTGAAATCTCCGAGGTTATCCTACCGGTGTCGTTAACCTTGCCTCGACATTGTGTCGTCCTCCTTCCACGTTTCGCAGGTATGGGACACGGAGATCGTGGGGTGCAGCAGGCTACGGATTCTCGACAGTCATCAGTGGCCTTTTGTATGGCATTGCCGGGGGTAACTACGACGGCGGCGTGGTGTCTGTATACGTGACAGTCTTGGCGATGGCATTGGTAGCGGCCCTCGGTGTTCCGGTTGGACCGACCGCTGAACCAGCCGGTGGCCAAGAAGATGAAAACCCGTGGCGGTACGTTCTTGTCTGTGTGTAATTCCGAGCGATCGTAGTGGTGGTGGCCATGCACGTATTGCATCCACGCGAATGGAGCGTAGGTCCGCCTCGAGCAGCTAACAAATGCCACGATGGTACCCCAAACGTTTGCGATCTGAAGGAACAGAATACGATCATTCCTGACAAACGGCCGCTGGTCTATGGGCAAAAATGTATCCATTGGTTTCTTACCTTTCTTATTACTACCGCCGTTAGCTCATTTGGCGTGTGATGCAATAGAACACACGCACACATGTGATGCTATTGTGTCCGGTGTGTCATGGCGCATGGCTAGGACGAGGGCACTCACGGGGTGCTTTCAACTGCTTTAAGGAACAAGCGGTCTGGATTGCAATCCTGTGGTATATCAGTCTCGTTGGTCCCGAAGCTAAACGGATGGACCTCCCGAGTAACGCCATCTGGGCCTTGCCATACACGTGAGACGCCTTAACAGCTAGTATTCGCAGTATCGTCATCAAGTGCCTCTTTGAGCTAGGTGGCGTATTCACCTAAATAGTAAAGTCCCGCCATTCTGTGCATGTGTTCGGCAGCAATCGATCAGGGACCAGTCCCACCGTTTCCGTTCATGGAGAAACAGAGCTTGCCGAAAACGGATGCGCAAGCGAAGACGAGGCTACCGACACCCGCTCAGACATCCGAATCAAATTCGAAGAATTGGGGAACGAGGAGTTGAGCAAGCCACTACAAGACTTGGAGCAAGAGGAGCATGGTGTGGCTTCCGCCCTCTGGATTATGTTCGGTACGTTGCAGAACTTCTCGTTTTTTTCAGCGATCCTCCTAAGCGGCATGACGAAGGGCGTGATCGACACCTTCCTTTTCATCTGGTCAGTGCACTGCATATCGACACAAGTACCACCGCGCACGTTCGAGGTTGATTTTGCTCTTTTCGCTCACGGCCTCCAGCAGAACAAACGAATAGAATGGTGTACATCGTTTATGCCTCGATACGCACCTGAACCTCAGTTCCATCTGTTTTTGCTCTTCACACACGAAGCTACGTTAGACCGGCGGAGTATCAGCTATGAAAGTTGAATGTTGCAGTTGTGGGTGCCCCGTTGAGGACCCCAATCCAAGGCACGAAGCCCGTACATGTAGATTGTGCCCCCCTCCTCGAAATGTTCTTCGCCTCGCCTTGTTGCTGCGTTGACGTACGACGAAGACCAGATGTCAGTGGAACAATATCGTCGTGTGTGTGTGCTTGTCGCAACTATTCTGGCGCCAAGTCTGCACGCCTTTCGGTGTATATATCTGACGTATCGGCCAGGGTCATACAAGAGGAAGGCCGTATAGGATGTTTTTTATTGTCTATCGTAGTGAGGGGGAAACGCCGTGGGGGCTTGCTTTGTGGGTGTACAGCAATGGTTCTTGCAGCATAGTGGTGCGACTTTCCGCGTGTGTAAAACAATGGTTCGTTCGACGCCCGCCGGGCCGTGGCTTGCTGGGTATTGCCAAGACTCGCTCCTCACCACGTCGTTCGATAATCCTCCGTCAGCCTCGCGTTAATGCTTGTTTCAGAGCTCCCAATCGCTGAGCCGTAGGGCTACATGCAGCAGCCTGACTTAGTTTATTTCCTGTCCGTGCAGGCTGGATCGTTCTGGGTGATGTAACATTCACGTTCTTGGTTGAGTTTATACGGAATAGATACTCCTTTGGGGGCAGGGTGGGATGCACGATGTTGAAACCTAACAGCCCCACCTCGATTCCCCCTTCACGCTTGGACGAATTTCGCGTGGCCATCAAGGTTGCATGAGCTAGGGGGCTCTCACGCTCTCCTCGGCCTTGCTGGACTTACGATGTGCTTGTCCGAAGTGCCGTTCTTCTACGTTTCGGGACCTTTGATCCGGAAAATTGGACCGAGAAACGTAGTGGCCCTGTCCCAGATCGGATACATCGTGCGGTTAGTCTACTACTCGGTGCGTACCCCCGCCTAGTGAAGAGGGTGACTTGGCGATGTTGCAGGGGAGTCGCCAGCGTGATTATTGTTTGTACTTCTTCACAACACGTCGTGTCTACACACCGACGTCCGCAAGGGTTGGTGTTGAGGATAGAAAAACAACGCGAATGTCACCAAGACTGTTCAAGTCCGGCGCTACCCTCCTCCATGATCTGAATCCGGCTAGGTATGCGTAACCCCCCAAAACATGTTTTGGTATACTGGGTCAAAAGGGGACCATTCCCCCGCCTTCTCTCCATTCAGAAGACATCGTCAGTGACTAACCCTTTGGCTTGTCTTCCTCACCCTCAGGTTCTGTCGGACCCATGGTGGGTGCTTCCGGCGGAACTTTTGCATGGCCTAACGTTTGCTGCTATGTGGGCAGCCACGACCGACTATGCCCACGGGATTGCGCCAGGTATGGGCTAGGGAGGATATTCGTCCCTGCTCGTGTAACAGGACTTTTCCTAGATGCCCACAACAACTCCAACCCATCACCGTTCGCTTTGCTCGGACTGATGATGATGGAATGACCCTCCAGCTTGTGCGTTTCCTTCTCACAAGCTAACGCTACTACAGGACAATAGTGGAGGACTGGCTAGTCACAAGGCATATTGTAGCACTGAGGTCAGCGTAGTTTTCTTGTAGTACCGGCCGTGGTCTCCGGTTTCGAGTGAGAGCCACGAGGGCTATATCCACCAAGGTTTCTCAGGAAGGAGGCGGGTTGCAATCGGGATGACTGTTCCGGCGCCCCCGATTCCAGTAGAACAGCGGAGACGGGCCGAACGCGATAGGTTCTACGCCTCGATCTGTGCCCTCCATGCATGAGCTCATCGGCTACTCATACGGTTCATCGAATTTTCCGCGCGCATGAACACGGAAGCCGCCCGAATTCAGGTAGACCAGCACGGGTATTTGGAGGTACTGAGTAAAGACCGGAACGACTTTCAATGTGAAGACACAACCAACTGCAACAATGGGGTCGTCACCGTGACACTCGAGGACCTCCATGTCTGGTGGACAACGACCGACGCGCGGAAAGATCCCCGCGCCTACCATTGCAACGGTTGTACTGATCAACGGAACAACAACGCGCGCCTCCCCGCCCTTGTTTACGGCCAACTCCGACTGCATTCCCGCCTGCCACGTCAATTGTACGCGTCCTGGTCCGATCGAGCCGCCCAGCACATTTGCGCACGACGATGCAAGCTTCGGTCGGGGGCCTCAAGCGCGGGTTGGGGTACGGCTTAGGGGCCATCGTCGGGGGAGTCTCGTACTCAAATCTCGGCCCGAGGCGGTGTTTTCTAGCCACCGCCGCTCTCCCTGCTTTGTCCCTCCTGTTTCTTGTCATTCTTCCCCGGATCAACATCGTTGGAGGCTTGCGGAAGCAGGGGGTGGGCAAAGAGGGGCTGAAACACTGGGGAGCAACGGGTTGTCACGAGGAGGTCAGCATGAGTATTGATATGTTTCAGTCTTGCGCGGCAGTGTGGTGTTGCGAGTTCCAACAATAGCAGTTTTTTTTCAGGTTTTCATGTCGCTTGTCCAGAAAAACACAACCATGTTCGACGTGAGTACCTCCTTCGTGATGGAGCGGCCCACCCACTCTCAAGACCCGCCAGAAATTTCAGCGGTGACCTCGAGCGTTACGTACATTGAATGGGAGAGAAATCATACGTCGTGTAGATATTCGCACTGAGCACTCGCTCATCTCATTGTTGTTGTTGTTGTTGTTGTTGCCGTTTGAAGTTGTTGTCTCACTAGCATAACGTGATATCCAGTGCATACCTTTTCGCCATGCTTACGTATCCGGTAAAGGAAGGACTCTGCCGCAAAAGGTCGATTCTATCAAAATATTGCCATGCGGTAGAAACAGATCTAGAGGGAGCGCTACGTTTCGCGAACATTGAAAGAGTATTACACATGAGAGACAATTGTGTAGGGTGGGACATAGAGCCCAAATAGAAGAGCAGAGTCGATCGTCCAAGTCGGAGGCAGACCAAAAATCAGGATCGTGCTGCATGTATCCGCAGCAAATATGCCTCTCCGAAACAAAGTGGAACAAGAGGAAGTCCAAGAACAACATCAACCAGTTGCAATAGCAATGAGTGGCGTTATTTTATTGCCATTCATGTACTGTTTGCCCGCTCAACGTAGACACCGACCGGCAACTGTAGCGCAGCACGCGATTTCCTGCTATGTTCCCGAGAGTTGCGACCGAAACGGGTACCGAGCCGCTGGCGACGCATTTTTTTAGGCCTTATCAAGGTGATCCACTTCTTGAGAGGAAAACATCATCACCAGGAAACGGCAGCAACACTACTGTACGCGTGCTACGCTGCCCGGCTGAGCGCCCCCCATCAACGATCTGGCTTCATCTTGCACAAATGGTCCTCCATCCATTCTTGTGTGGGATCTCCGCAGGCCGGCAAGATTTGTACTAGCGGCGAATTCGAGCACAAGAACATGGACGGTGTCGAGATCGGACAAGAATAACGCCAAAGGTGACTATTTGGCATGCCTTCACAATACCGATAGGGGGCGCGAAAACCTTTTGTGGTTGAGTGGGCGAGGTCCTTGTTGTTGGCTCAGTTCTCGGAATGTGTAGCGGAACGGGGCTACGGGGCGGGAGCGCCAACGACGGTCGTGACCAGTGCCTCCTTCGTGGGGGTGGTGACATCACCATGGCTCCCCGCATATTAGGCTTCTGGGGTCGTGGCCTCCGTAGGTTTGTTGTTGGTGTTGCTCGTGTGTCTCCTTGTTCTTGGTCGTCAGATTTTCGTATTGGTTGTATATCTCTCAAGCACAGGAGCTTGTTCCTACACCTTTTGTGACACATTCTCTCTCGTCGGGCGTCCGTCCTCTGACTCGACGACGCCTCCATCACCCTTTTCTGACACCCTCTGGCACAGGTAATGGTGTTTCGCGTGGCCCTAACCTAACCGTGTGGTTTCTAGGCTAATGCACATGGCACAGACGTACCGAATTCGCTGAAAATTCTTGTCTCGACCTGTGGTCGCTGTACGCTTGACAGGATCAATACCGAACCCATCAGGTCCCGATCCCCGGTGCCAAGCCTCCAACCCCAACCGCTTCCGCCTCCGCCGAAGCACCCGACGCCCCCACTTCAGCCAAGGGGAATTCGCCTAAAGACCCTGAGGATTATTCTGGCAGTCACTGTAGGGTCCTACGTGCCAGGCCTGTTGAGATGGGGGGGGCTACTGTACCCGCTGTTTCGGGAGATACATGAATGACGTTCTGCTGCCGTCGTTGCCGGCATGTGTCTCTCCTGCCGGAGATGACAGGTAGAACTCGAGTTTTTGTGGGAAGAATCCGCACACGTACGCAGAGGTCTTCTTGCAAGACGGTTTTTGAAGCCCATGAGACAGGCGGGTTTTTCAGTCTCAATCGTGAAGTTCCTAGGATGAACAAATTGTTTCCAGCTGTAGGTTGTCTGTTAAGTGTTGCTTGTCATGGCGAAAATCACCGTTACAGGGGGTCCAAGAACCACGGTTTTGAGTGATAGTGGCGCTCAGTCGTTCGCACTGATGTTTCTTCTCTGTAGTTGGATTCGAATGCGGCTGCGCGGGCTCGTGCAGACTTCGATTGGTCAGAGATATTACCAGCAATAAGGCCTGGTTCTGGTGTTGACAGAAATGGGCCCTCGCGTGATGTTCAATCTCGAGCATGGGAGTCGCATTGGCTAAATGAAGTCGCACGCTCAGCATCATGCATGGCACAAGCGCTGTGTACAATGGAGAATTTCTTGTTTGCGATATTTTGTTGCGATTTTCGCATTCTTGGTGCATGTGGTGAGAGAACCTTTTTCTATACTAGAAATAGACGGGCGCCCATCCCTGGGAGCTCGGAAACGCAAGGAGCGTTGAAGCGTCAGGCAAACGGAAGCAAGTCTGTAGGTAGGTTTATGAAACCGATTGGGACAGTATTGGGTTAGCTCGTGATCGTGTGATCATGACCGCTGGCACACTAAACCTCAACTTACCCGCCAAGCGCCAAGCCACAGCACCCAGTGTGTGGTTTGGGGGTTTTAGGGATAGGGTTAAGTTTTCAGCCACCTTCATACCCGGCGAAAGCAGAGAACCTTATGTACCAGTGCAAGTTGTAAATCACTTGGTTTGCCGACTGAAGGTAAGACTAGCCTGGAATAAGGGACATGTACTATAATATAGTTTCTGGGAAGCCTTTGTTACAGGATTTGAGCTAACCCTATCCCTAACCCTTCGTACGTCTGGTTCGTTGTGGTGCAAACTACTCGTGTAGAAGTCTTAGGGTTGGTTGTGTTGGCTTCTCTTCCCGACTCCGTCTGTTTTGTCATTGTCGTCCGTGTTTGGGCTTTTGTTGTCGGTTGCAGAAGTGTTGCATTTCGTTTTGTGACGACCCCTTTTCAGCCCTTTGGACGATCGACTTGTTGCCGTTGTTCAGTATGTTGTTTCGTTCTAGCAAGTTGTTTTTCTTTTCTATTACCGCGACTTAGGGCAGTTGGTTGATACTACGACCCCTGTTGTGTCGTCTCTGTGACGTTCGGTTTCTCACCGCTTGGTACGTGGTTGTGCTATTCGATTTTCTGCTTCTTTGCTTTTGGTCGTTCCGACGATTGGATATTCTTTTCGACTGTTGAGTCTGGGCGCATGTGCCGCCTTTCGTTAGGCTATATGGTATTTCGTTTATTTCCGTTTGGATTTCGAATTCTGTTCTGGTCTTGTCCTTTGGACCGTACTTTCGCGTTCGTGTTCCACGACGATGGTCTTTGTCCATCTGATGTAGAGGTGTGGGAGGGTGAATTGTTGCGTGGTGGAGATTTTCATCTTTGATTCATTCTCGAATCCTAGATTTGACTTGGTCATATCCTGGGGTTTCCGTGTATTATCTGCATAATCTACGAAGCTCCCGGGTGGGCTAGTGTTATGGGACTTGAGTACAAGGATCTGAACAGTAGTTGTAGGCAAGATATTTGATCTGGCGGGAACTGCAACTCCTTAGGATTGTTGCATTGCCATAACGGCCCCTCCCTGCAAGGAGCGGTCCGTGCCTCTTTCTGTTCAGTCTATCCGAAGCAAGGAGTCGGCAAGTGTGCTGCCGATATGAGAACAAGACACATCTTCAAGTGAGTCATCATCATCAGGATCTTCAGGGAGTGCTGCATACGCATGTGAACCTCAGAACACCCTTCTCTATGCACAGATTTGATGTATTTTCGGCGAAGTCAGATGCTTTTGCTATTTTCGCGCAATAGTCTAAAGTTTTCCCGAGCTAACAACGTTGTTCGTGCCATATCTTGGGTCAAAGTTTTGCTTCTCGATTTGACTCTTCTTTCATACTTCATTCAGTGCAACCTTTGCCGCGAAAATCTAAATCTCTGTCTACTCATCGTGACCCGGTGGCACAATCACGACTCGGACATGACAGATCATGGCTGGAATACGACCGGGTCATGATCCACCACTTTGTTTGGCCGTATTCCTGCGAAAGTGAGAAAAACAAACTGGGTCCTGACCGCGGGTCATGACGCCGTCATGACCCCATCTACTGGTTGGTTTATGATCCGCCCTGACCGATTCATGATCTTATGAACTAGCCGTAGCCGTAGGCGGATACCTGGTACTGAGCAGAGACCGAATCGGCGATGACAACAAGAGCAACAACAACAACAATCATGACATCATGACAGCAGATCTCGGCCGTTGTGCCGGTTCAGCGATCCAAGAACCTGAGAACCGGTTCCATTTCCGTTCTTTGTGCTGTGTGCTGTGTGCTGTGTGCTGTGTGCACGTGTGCACCGTTGCACAGCTTGCCCATCCACGCATGCATGCACGCACGTCGTTTCTTTTCGTTGAATCCACGCCTCCCTCCTGCCTATCCTCCTGCTCCTTGCAACATTTCTCTCCGAACACGCTGCAACGAGCCTACCATGAACATGATTTCCTAAGTGTGGCTTTCACCGCTCTTCCTCTTGGTCGAGGGCATGGGTGCTGGAGCCGAAGGTGAGCAAGACAGAGCTGACACGCGTTTTTTTTTTTCCGTCGGTGACCTTTTCTCCACGACAAAGACTGCCTTACGATATGCGAGTGTGCGCGTATTCATGCAGGTCCTTCAATGAGGCGACAGTCGAAACCTCTTGTTTGGCATTGTGTTCTTGGATAGAGAGAGCCACACACAGCTACTGCCGGCAAAGGGTATTGTCATTTTGGATCTGCCACAAGGGTTTAATTGAACCTGATGAATGTGGGCGCTCGTTCGTCTACACATATGTCTTCCTGACCAGGGAAACCAATAGCACGCCCACCTGAAGCAGACACCATGTGTACGGCCATGCCATCCATTCTCCCCCAGGATTGCTCCAGCCCAACCCTCAGCTCTGGCGCGGCGTTGATCAACGTTAGCTGAGTAGGTCATGTTCTTGAACCGTGTACCTCCCGTCCAAAGAATATTCATCAGAAAATGCTTCGGCGGTGAGATTGTGGACAGCGGGGCGTGGTCCAGCAACACACGCTGGTATACTGCCGCACCCACATCCTGACCGACAATCCTTCATTACCTACTACCCCGTTGCCTCTGGAAGAGGTTGTCTGTTACACGTGTCTAGGAGCAGGATGGGTGCAAGTGAATACTTGGATACCAACGCATCGTACAGAGCGGGTTATCTTCATAGACAGATTCCGGCAACGAAAGAAATAAAACCAATTGCTGTATGTACTTGCTGCTAGGCTGAGCGGAGAGGGGGCGTAACAAGCCGAAACACGCTTGCTGAAGAAAACAGATCACAGGTGCGTTTTTGCTTGCTCGGTGGACCGAAGCCACCAACTAACTTTTTACTAAATATCCGCCCATACGCCCTCCACACCATCGGGCACCCTCCCACACACACTTGCCAAAGCTGCCCACGTCTCTATCTTTCGGTGATGGAGTGATATTCGGGAGACGTGGGCCTTTCAACGGAAGACGTAGGCAAAGTAATGGCGGACTGGTTCTGGCTCACTAGACTACACGTCGCCCCGTAGTGGGTAACCACGTAGGCATAAACATTCTTCTGGCAGCAGTTCGATTCTCTCTCTCTACAGAATAAAGCAAATGGTATCGTAGCTTGCCTCGGGCAACTGTGCTGGTGTCCTCTACGAGCTTCGTTATTTAGTATCTCGTTTCCAATAGACGTTGCAAACGCGGAATTTCAGTTGAACTTAACCCTTTTGGGTCTTCACGCGTTCTGATAGATCATTGATAGATCATTCGCATATGCTGGTGTGTTGCCATGCCATGGAGTTGCCACCCTGAATCCCTCCACGCCAGGTGTTGGCAAGTCCATAGGTATGTGTTGTTGTAGCATCGACCGAGCTCACCGGCGACCAACGAAAAGCCGTCCGTGCCAGCGGGTAAAATCAAGGTCCCTGGCATGGGACCAAATTCGGAAAACGCATACGCTAAATGCGAATGCCACAGTGAATCTCTCTAACAATGTAAATATCCTTTCACAGAGACACACATCATAGCTCCACATACATACATGCCCTCGCCCAAATCTATGAAGACACTGAATGCAACGAGCGGAGGGCAGTCAAACGGGCATTTCAAGCCCAGCCAAGCCAGGATATCCTGGTATGTTGCATCTCCAAAATTGATTATCGTATAATCGTATACTCCCAACATCCAGCAGTCATCGCGTCAGGAGCTACACTACACAGCAGCTGCTGTACAGAGCACCACGGGCACGACACGACCGCTCATCCCAGTTCAAACCACGGGCACGATCACTCACCATCCTAGCAAAAAGCGAAGAGGGTACCCACTCGTGTGCTGGTACACCGAGAGCAGTACAGAATAGCAATGCCGATTTCAAACATGATGCAACTTTTTTGTCAAAGGGGCCGTCGACAAACATATACATGCACGCGCGAATATCAATTATGTTTCCGTCCAAACACGGCGAAATACTCTATCGCGGAGCACGTGGCAGCGGTGTGCCCCGAACCTCTCCTTGGTTGGCATGCCCTGGCCTCGAAGCGGGAACCACGATGTAGTATCAATGTAGGATGGACAGCGGGGCTTCGCTTCCATTTCAGGTAAGCAACTATTCGCGCAAACATGTCGAGATCGGAGGTAAACTACCGTACGATGGATTGATGTGTTCCGACAAGAAGCCAAGAACAATTATGCACGCGCGCGCAAAAAATGCATGTGTCAAAGACGTACAACAGTAGTACATAGCGCATCGATACATTCCCCGTCATTCATCACATGGAAGGTCAAGATATGGTCAAATGAGCCGACAACAAAAATATATGCGCGCGTAAGAACAAATAATGTAACGATCGAAACCCGGCGGGAAATCAGCCTCCGTGGGGCACGTGACAGAGGTGTGCCCCGACCCTGTCGTTAACAGGCTAATACCGGGTAGGAAGGAAAAAACTATGCGCACGCACAAATTGGTTGAGATCGGAGCTATTGTACAATGGATGCATGGATGGATGTGCTCCGACGAAGAAAAAAAAGGTTTGAGCCACCAATCATCAAGTTTGTCAAGTTGTTGGCGTGCGTGCGAAATGCGGCGGAACATGCTTCCGCGTCGGGAGGTTGCAGCGGGGCCCGAACCTCTCGTTGGCAGCCAAACTTTGACGGTTTCCTAGAGGAAAAGCGGTAACCACCGCTCGAGCACTCACGTGGATACATGATCCAGTACGTTACTGCTGACTGAAAGCGCGAGGTTTGCATCGCTTGTCTTCTTCGTCCCGCGCAACAGGCTCTGTTCCAGATATGACCCTGGGTGCCAGCTATCCGGGTGAGGTTGAACAACCCATCTCCGAAGTCAAGCTGCCGGAGTCCCTGCAAAAGCTGACTTTTGGCAAGTACTTCAATCAACCCACGGACGGCATCTTATGGCCCAAGTCCCTGAAAGAGATACGGTTCGACGAAATCGAACATTACACCTCTGGGACTGAAGGTGGTTTCAACCAGCCCATCGCTGGTGTCACGTGGCCTGCCTCCCTCGAAATTCTGGTCTTTGGCCCAACCTTCAACCAACCCATCGCGGATGTCACGTGGCCGGCCTCCCTACGGCAGCTGTCGTTCGGGTACTCCTTTAAGCAGCCCATCGAAGAAGTCGTGTGGCCGGCTTCCGTGCAACAGCTTTCATTCGGGATGCAATTCAACCAGCCCATCGTTGGAGCAGTGTGGCCGACCTCGTTGCAGCAGCTATCGTTCGGGTGAAAATTCAACCAGCCCATCGCCGAGGTCGTATGGCCGGCCTCCCTGCCACAGCTATCGTTCGGGAAGGAATTCAACCAGCCTATCGCCGACGTCGTTTGGCCAGCCTCGCTGCAGCAGCTATCGTTCGGGTGAAAATTCAACCAACCCATCGCTGGTGTCGTTTGGCCAGCCTCACTGCAGGGGCTATGGTTTGGGTGGTACTACAGTATAACCAGCCCATCGACGAGGTCGTGTGGCCTGTCTCCCTGCAACAGCTATCGTTCGCAGCGAAGTTCAACCAACCGATCGCCGAAGTTGTGTGGCCGGCATCCCTCCAGAAGCTAAGGTTTGGCCGCAGTTTTAATCAGCCCATCGCCGAGGTCGTATGGCCAGCCTCACTGCAACAGCTATCGTTGGACTGGAAATTCGACCAGCCCATTGTTGGAGCCGTTTGGCCGTCCTCGCTTGAAGCATAGTATTTGGTGGGAATCTTCAACAAACCCATCGAAGAAGTCGTGTGGCCGGTCTCCTTGAAGCTGCTATGGTTCGGGCCCCAATTCAATCAACCCATCGCCGAGGTCGTCTGGCCGGCCTCGCTGCAGCAGCTATCGCTTGGTTCGCGTGGGTCTGAATTCAACCAGCCCATCGCCGAGGTCGTGTGGCCTGCCTCCCTGCAACAGCTATCGTTCGGGACGATTCTCAACCAGCCCATTGTTGGAGTCGCTTGGCCGGTCTCCCTGCAGCAACTGTCCTTCGGGGGCACATTCAATCAACCCATCGCCGGGGTTGTTTGGCCGGCCTCGCTGCAGCAGCTATCATTTGCGCCGCAAGGTGGGTCTGAATTTAACCAGCCCATCGCCGAGGTCGTGTGGCCTGCCTCCCTGCAACAGCTATCGTTCGGGACGAAATTCAACCAGCCCATCGTTGGAGTCGCTTGGCCGGTCTCCCTGCAGCAACTGTCCTTCCGGGGCATGTTCAACCAACCCATCGCGGATGTCACGTGGCAGGTGTCCCTTGAACTTCTGTATTTGGCTCAAGCTTCAACACGAGCTTCAACCAGCCCATCGCGGATGTCATGTGGCCGGCCTCCTTGCGGCAGCTGTCGTTGGGGTACTCATTTACCAGTCTGCGGATGGAGTTGCGTGGCCAGAGTCTCTTGAATCACTTACGACCGGGGGGCGTGCCCAACATATCGCGCGAGGAGACCAATCGACCGTGGAGTGAGTGCCGCAGGTGGCGGGCAGCATGACGTCACTTCTGCTCGGGGTTGGTTCCCAAGCGGTTCGTCAATGCATAGTCTCATCAGCGTTAGCGAAACGCCTAGACGGCATTTCCTGGGGTCGTCTACCTACTCACGTACGGGAGATGTCCAGTGCTACCTCCGCCCATGTTTTGTTTTGAGACGGGTTTCTGTGCAGTCTATTGGCAAGTGTTTTGTTTAGATTAAAAGGCTAAGTTTGTTGTCGGAGACCGAATGTACTGAATTTTGTTGAAACTGTAACGCATTATTGTTGGAAATCCGGGGCTACATGTAGAGCACATTTCGCGTGCCCCCCGAACCTCTGGACCCCAGCGGAGAGAGCACGCGTGCGCCGATGTTGTCGGCCGTTGCACTCGTGAGCGCGAGAAAAGACCACGGAGTACGCGAGCACGAGGATTGAGGCATTGGCCAACATAGACAGGTGGCCACAGGATGCACCAAAGACCCTTGTGTCACACTAAAGTGACTAGTGGTGGTGAAGGAGTGTAGGTGGTCTCACCCTGGAATCAATATGTTACTGTTTGTCTCTACGTATGTAAATATATTGTTTTTGTTCGATGTTTTGGACGTGTCTCTAGGATTGATTCTTCGTAACGTTTCGGAGCATTGCGGGCACAGAAGATAGGAGAGCGACAGGGCAACGCATGGCAGGTTTGGCTTGGTCTACGCGAAGAGCATGTGCGAAGTGACGGGTGCCGCCAATCGCTGTCTGCGTGCTGATTACAACGTATGGAAGCGATTCTACATACAGGCGAGGGTTAAACGTTGCATGTTGTGTGCATGCCCTCCCGGCTTCGGTTGGTTTCTCTGCCGGGAGGATAGAATAGGAGTACTTCCTTGTTGGTTGAGTAGAAGTTCGCACATCGTCTGACTGAGGCGGTGACGTTGTTGTCCCAATGGCCGAACCTTGGTGTGCTTTTTGGTGTGGATAGTAGTACGGAACCGAATGTCGTAGGCCATGCACAATGATGTAGGCAGATATGCTGGATTGCGGGAATACAACAGTTCTACCCTGGTCGCTGGGGAACAAACAAATGCGCTTGAGAGTTTGGCCATTGGTTTGCGTCGAGATTCCTCGCTATCCATTCCTGTGGCATTCCCATACCGCATTGTGGTATCTCAGTCTAGATCTTCTTCGCGTGTCTCTATCTTCGCGTTAATAATCAGTACGAAAAGACACTTGGCATACAAATTCTGGGATAATTTCAACCGGCCGAGTTTATTTTCGAGGAAACGCGTACGAAAGCACCGCCGCAGACCAGAGCAAAGCTCGCAACCTTCGAGCATGGGGACACGCTACTCGAGCTAGCGCCGAACGAGTCGAATCCACCAAAGACCAATTAGAATCAGCGGAATGATTTTGCACGATGGTGCATGCCGATTCGCGCAAGTAGTCCCAGACGCCTCACAATAACACCCAATCAGCATATGATTCTGGGTAGAGTGGCGCGAGCCCATTCGCACAAGTACCCGCCATACCGATCAATCACCGTATTCTTCTGGGTAGAGTAGCGCGAGCCCATTCGTCCAAGTAACCCCAGACACTTTCACCGGCCCGGAGGGGCAATTCACAGCCTACTGTTACCACGTTTCCCGCCAGATGCCTCTAGGGCGGGGCTACACTGGTTCGACGCACAGAAGAGCGGGGGCTCTCCGGTACATGGTGCTTTCCGTTCACCGCGCCGCCGCTCTCCTCCTGGCATCGCGCCTCTCCGCAAGCTCCGCCAACTCCTCCAGATAGAGGGAGATCCCCCCCTCCTCTCGCCTCCGGACGCGGTGGCCTTTGACTTCCCACAGTTCTCCCCGGGCCGGTCCCGAGCCCCCGTCCTCGCCATCCGCGTCGTCGTCGTCGTGGTCGAGCATATCGGAGATGAGGGCTTGGTCGTGGGAGGCGAGGACTACTCCCCCTCTGTAGCCCTCGAGGGCCGTCTTGAGGGCGTCGATGCTGGCCAGGTCGAAGTGGTTGGTTGGCTTTTGCGAGGCGACGGGGAGGGAAAGGGCGTGGTGTCGTGAGATGGTGTTTCGGCCTTGGAAAGTGTGCATGGTCTCTCGCCCAACAGTTTCATCACTCAAACAACACGCTGTGCACGAAAAAAGAAGTAACAGCCTCGATTCGAGCTGGCCGCCAGCATCGTTCGCAGACACCAACTGCGGCGATTCGTAGCGTGTGAGCTGTTCGTGAATATGCACAAATGTTTGCAGGGGGTGGTAGGCATGTCCGAGGGTGGAGAGTCTCTTTCGTTCGGGATAGCATGTCGGCCCGGCTAGTGGTGGCTAGCCGAGGATCAGAAAGTGCGATGATATGATGGAGCACTCAGGTTTAACCCGTTTGGTACCGTCATGGTGACCAGCTCTCTCTATCTCTCTCTCTCTCTCTCTCTCTCTCTCTCTCTCTCTCTCTCTCTCTCTCTCTCTGTCTATTTCTCTCTCCTTCCCCCCCTCTTTCTCTCTGTCTCACCCTCCCCAAAAGCCGCAAAAACACACAAACAAGCTGGTGCACAAGGCGAAACACATCGAACAGCAACCACCGACCTCATCAAGCAGAAGCAAGTGAGGACGATGTGTCATAAGCTCAGCCAGCACTACCCTGCTCTTCTGCCCTCCCGACAGGCTCCGCATCTCTTGCAGGGCCAGACGGCCGGTGATACCGCAGCAGCCTGTGGGGCGCGCGGGGCGGAGGAGCCAACCACGGCGACGGTGAGAATTAGAGGGGTTGATCGGCCACCAACAGGTTGAAATGCATCACGCTTCTCTGTTGCAAAACCATAGATGCCTTGAACAAATAAAGGGGTGACTGATGGTATGTTCTAGGGGTCAACTTGGAAAATGGAATTCGCCCTACTCTTACAACTGACTTGGCGCACTTGCTCTCTTTTCATTTCAAGGTGGCGGGGTATTCCACTCTGTTACCCTGCTGTTGTGCCGGCTTCGTGACCACTCACAAGAACAATATCCACCAACGCCGACGAGATGAAAACCGATCTGGCCGGTTTTGCACTGATGTGCCGCAGGGCGTGATTTCACTCGCAATCCCAGTGGGCCACAAAGAAACGACGCCCGCACAGCAAACTAACTCACCAAGCTGACGACGCAATTCAGCCTCGTTGATGCCCTCCACGCTGCCGAAGACCCTCCGCATGTGCTGCAGCGGGCTGTCGGACATGAGAAGCCTCTCCGCGTGGTGCTGAACGCGGAGGGTCGAAACGGCGGAAGAGAAAAAATCGCCACATATCATTCCGTTACAGCAGAATGTAGTGTACAAATTGACATGCTGTAGTTGTCGCGACAGCATAAAAAGCGGTAGTGTGTTCGGACAAGTAAATTACGGCGTTGGCTCTAAATACTGTTCTAGAATGACTACAGATATCTCGAGGTGATTCTCATGCGTCCCCCCGCCTGACCTGCGTAAACAGTCCGACGCGCGCGTTGAAATTTCGGACGATGCTCCCTCGTGTCGGAGCAAGGTTGTCGCCGCCCCCGGTCGCAACCCCGGGGGCGCCGCTTCCGGCCTCGGTAGCGGCCGCAATAAGCTTCAGGAGAGTGCTCTTGCCGGACCCGTTTCGACCCACCAGTACGACCCTGCATACCATTTGTTAGTTAGGCAAGATGGTGTAAGCTTGCTTTCATGCACTTCGTAAATACGTTGCAAGCTTGTTTTCTTCAAGCGCATTGTAATAACGTCAGGCCATAATCTGTAAATTTGTTTTCAAGCACTTCGCATGATATGATAGGCTACGAAGTTGGAAAATTTGTTATCGAGCACTTCGGAAATAATTCTCCACAAACAAGCGAGTGCAGAAGGCTTGACGCACTTACACCGCCTGAGGCTCGCTCTTGCGTGCTGTCCATCCGCACGTGATTGTTGTGACTGATTTTCAGCAACACTTATCAACATCTCTGAGGGCTTCAGACCTCAGCAATCGTAAAAAGTGCCGATCCTCCCGTGACAACTCATGCTCAAGCTTTTCTGTCGAAGTGGCTATGGCAATCGATCCTGGGCGATCCATACAGACAAATCTCACCACACACAGCCGCGCACACCACACGCACCTGCTCCTGCGCGTGAAGTCCATCGTGACGTCCTCCAAAAGCGGTTGGTTCTTGCCAGACGCCGACGAAGTAGAGGAGGTCGACGCGGGGAAGGAGAAGGTCACTCCACGGCACTGCACGATGGGGGCGTCCATCGCGCACGAGAGGGGAGCCACGTCGGGAAACTTGAAGACCGTCTCTTTGTCCACGTGCGCAGCCAAACTGTCAAACAAATGACCACAAGACGAAGGAAGATAGGTGGGGAAGAGGAGTGGGGGGTACACATGGACTGTGGTGCGCCGGAGGTTGTTTGCAGCCCTTTGTACGCTTCTAGTGGTAGGACCTCTTGTACGTAGCACCTCCTCCCACTGGCATTGCCGCCCGACGGTAGCAGAGTGCTATTAAAGTGCCTATTCAAGTACGTCACGTGGTCGGGCTAGACCCACGCTGGTATCTTATCTCTCTCTCTATCTTTGGCACCACAATTGTACCTTCTCCTCGCCGTTTTGCTGCCCCTGTTGGTGAGCTCGTTGGCGCAGCCGGCTCGAATGGAGCTGCCGGTGTTGGCCACAGTCTGTGCTTTCCACCTGTACGATCCAAGCGATGAAGGGTCGACGTGGTGTATCACCACATCGTGACATTGGTTAGCTTCTGGCAAAATAACGTCGGTCGTGGTAAATATTGTGCTTCATTCTCAAAATACGCAACCCCCCCCCCTCCCCCCGATTGTGCTTGGAGGGTTAACACACAGATGGGAGGCAGATGACCCAGCGAAAAACGCCGCCTTTATCATAAACCAAGGCGAAAACCCCGTCGAAAAAGAGTGGTAGGCACAGGTGACGATGGGATGGGGTCCGCAACGCTGCTTGACTATTCTCTGGGTACTGTTTTGGGACAACCAACTGTGCCTTTCAGCTAGGAAAACAATATGAAAACGTGGTCGATCGTGTGGTTTCTTGAGAGAGAGCATGTTCGTTATTTTCGACAAATTCCATTCTTCTTTCTCATACTGCCTCTTCTAGACGTCTGGGAATACCCCCTCTTCCTATACGCGGGGTGTACCAGCCAGCCGTGGTTACACTGAGCGATTCCCATTCTAGTGAACCACTAGCGACAGAACAGTCGCCTTGCTACAACACGTGGTAAGGGTTAGTAATCACCTGTGCCCGTTCACATCCCTCTCTAGGCCGTGTCGCCCTAGCTTCTTGTTGCGAGACGCCACCTGATTTGTACGCGCGGGTGAGAGCTAGGAGTAAGATGGAATGCAGACCCGGGCTGAAGTGGGAAAAAACAAAAGCCTTTGCGACGAACAGTTTGCTCGCTATACAAGTCGGGGGTTCTGCCAGTCCATTTAGCAGAGGCGGCGCAACCAACTTCGCGGGGAAACAAGCATTTTCGAACAACAGCAGCTGTTTAGCCGAACCTACCAAAGTCTAAAGTGAAGTCTCTGTCCTAGCTGTCAAGTTCACGGTGTTGATGTTGTCGTTGTTGTGATGTTGTTGGTTGTTGGTGTTTTCTGTTGCGGCAGGTCAGCACTCTTCCGACTATTGATGGTGCCAAACAACACGAAACACATGAAATCTCATTCAAGACGCCGCTAGCTACACCTGACTCCAAGCTGCGCCAAAATACTTCGCGAACACGACAACCAATCAACGCTTCAAGGGCCCCCGCAGCAAGTGCTCACCTGGCTGGACTTTTTCTGGTCGCCGCCCTTCCCGCTGGCTGCCTTGGTCATTTTCTTGACGGAATCCTCGATGTGCTTCCGCTGCTTGTCGAGGTTGTCTTGGAGCCGGTTCGCCGCAACGTCGTGGTCTGACTTCGTCTGATGCAATAAACGCAACAAGATACACGATAAGGTGGCTGTACGTGCGACACTGCGCTTTGTGAGCCAAAATCAACGCGAAGGCTCCGCAAAATTCACCGCGAAGCACTGCGAAAGCGAGGTGCACCAAAGAGGAAAGCAAAGCGAAAGCAAAGCGAAAGCAAAGCGAAAGCAAAGCGAAAGCAAAGCGAAAGCAAAGCGAAGCAAAGCGAAAGAAAAGCGAATGGCGAAAGCAAAGCGAAAGCAAATCGAAAGCAAAGCGACAGCAAAGCGACAGCAAAGCGACAGCAAAGCGACAGCAAGCGACAGCAAAGAGGAAGCAAAAACTGGCAGCGTAGCCGTGTTACCTTCATGTATGCCGAGTAGTTGCCAGCGTAGTAGGTGAGCTGCTTGAGACGGAAGTGGATGATGTCGGTGGTAACCGCGTCGAGGAAGGCGGCGTCGTGGGATACCATGAGCACCATCGTTTCCCCTATCCCCTCCGTGAGCTGCTTCGAAAGCCACAGCACTCCCTCGAGGTCTAAGTGGTTGGTTGGCTCGTCGAGGAGGAGAAGGTCTGCCCGGCGAACACAAGCACAGAGCGTTTCGCACACACAAGAGTCAGATGGATGGGGCGGTGGACGCCCATAGTTAAGGGGATTGCATAAACATAGGACCAACACGGCGCTGAGCCTGGCGTGTTTTGTCAACAGCCAAGTCGGAAGGCGTTGTCGACGGTTACCACATACGAACGAAGGTTCGTGTGAACAAAACATTTACAACTGCTCAGGGTTGAAGGCGGAGGTATTGGCCAGACACGTAACGCAAACGACTGGGTGCATTCTTGAGAGGATCACCACGGAAAGGAAGAAAATAATAGCTACCAAACAAGAGCCGTGATCACGTGGAGGAGAGGCCGAGCATGAGCGGTTTCCAGCCAACGCTGGGAAAGGGGCGAGGGGCGGATTCAAATCAGAGGCTTGTGCACGCTGGCATGTGGCAAACATAAGCACACGCACCTCCAGAAGCAGTACTAAAGCAGTTGCGCCACATCGTTTTCTCAAGCTCACCACAGTGGAAGAGAGCGGCTCTCACCTGGTCGGCAGAACAAGGCGCAGGCCAGAGACACCCTGGTCATCCAACCCCCGCTAAGCTCGGCAGTGGGGCAAGACATGCGGCTCTCGCTGAACCCCAGCCCCTTGAGAATGCTCGTGGCGCGACCCTCCGCTTCGTGCGCATCCTGTGTCGAGAGTGAGGAGCAAGAGAACGAGAGAGAGAAGGAGTCGTCCTCTTGGAATGACACGAAGACTCTAACAAACAAACCCTTTCAGCAAGCCGCATACTCTCTCTCTCTCTCTCTCTCTCTCTCTCTCTCTCTCTCTCTCTCTCTCTCTCTCTCTCTCTCTGTCGCTCTCTCTCTCCGGCGTATCAACAACTATTGGAGAGAGGAACATGTGGTAACAGTGTTGAACTTGCCAGAACGTCGAGGTCCTCGTACACTTCCGCCAAGCGGGTGGCCTTTTCCTCCAGCGTAAGCTTGGCAATCTCGTTCTGCAGCTGCGACACCACGAACGACTCCCCACCTCCGCGCGGCGCCGGCGGATGCGGGGGCGGGGGGGATGCCTTTGTTCCACCCCCCGGGAGGGGTGGAGCTGCGCTAGCTCCTTCCGCGTCGGCCTCGAGCAACTCCGCCTCCCGCTGAAGAACGGTGATCCTTGCATCGGAGGCGACCACTGTCTGCAGGGCGCTCACGGAAGGGCTTCCTTCCTGTCAGGCGGGACAAGAAACGGCGGAGAGGGGCGGATGAGAGTCGGCGCCAGGTACTCGTTCTCTCGCCATGTCACGTGGTTAAGCCTATCAGACGTGACTTGTGTAAACTCAATTTAGCAAGGAAATGCGCCAAGCCAATCACGTCTCTGTATCTGCCGCCAGAGGTGTTCACATAACACCTCTGAACCGTCTCCTCCTCAACACCCTACAAGACAACGCCAGCGTGAACAACAAGCGCTTCATCCTGAACGCTGATTCCCTCCATCAGGCTACACCATGCGCTCGGTAGCATTGATACAAAACAGCGGGGACTCGAGGACGAGTCCTACGTGCTCGAAAAAGTGCTCGAAAACACTAGTACTTGTCCTAGAGACCACGCTGTTTCGCATCGATGGTGTCCAGCGCATTGCATTGCGCGATGGAGGGAAGCCCTCCCGGGGTGGAGTGCTTGCTGTTCATGTTGATGTCGGCGTGTAGCATGTTGAGGATTAGAGGTGGAAGTAGGGGAGGATCACTTGTCTGCTTGCCAATTCAAAGCTGCACGCACCACCGCCTCTCTTTCCAAGCTTGTGGAGGGGGGGGGTACGCATAGCGGTAGTAAAGTGATTTCAAAGAGCAGGAACAGAGGCGGCCCAAACGCACCAACTCTTCCTGCTGCACCAGGTAGGTCCGCATGTGGAGCGGCCATCCGGGGACCGCTCCCGCCGCGATGCGCCTCAACAGCGTGGTCTTACCCACGCCGTTGGCACCGACCAAGCCGTACCGGCGGCCGTTCCCGAGCCTGAGGGTAGTCCTCTCCAGCAGCTCCGTCCCCTGGTACGCAAGCGTTACGCCTGGCATATGGGGGCACGGGTCAGACTATGGTTAAATGGAGGGTTGGGTTCAGAGACGGCCTTGGGGCTGTGTATCAGGGCTAGCCTCATATACCAGTGAGATATCCGATGGTGGTTGGCCATGGAATGACCACGCCACGTTTCGACTAAAGGGGCCGGGTATTATTTCAATAGAGGGACCAGGGAGTCATCCGAGGGGAGGCTGGCCCTCTTTTAAACGCGCCTCACTCACTCACCCTCGACGTACACGTCCTTCGGCTGCCATGTGTTCCGCTGGATGCCGCGGCCCCCTTTCCCGCGGCCACCCCAGCTGCCTCCGTTCGCCTTTGCGTCCTGCCAAGCAGAACCCCAGTCGTCCATGTCCGCGAGTTCCGCGATGCCTTGAAACCCGCCTGGGTTCTGTTGCTGCTGCTGGCGCTGATCGGAGGTACTTGTAGCTTTCGCGGTATTGTTGGTGTCGTTGTTGCTATCGGTCTCTCCAGCGCCACTGCCGAGCATGTAAAACAAACGAGGAAGAGATCAGTTGCCGTAAATGTAACGGTCGAAACGCGGCGGATTAGTATTTCGCGGGGAAGGTAGCAGCGGTGTGCCCCGCATCACTCTTTTGGCAGGCTAGTTCAGCAGGCACACAGTCAGTGTAGTTTCGAACGGTTGTCCACTGGAGTATTGCAGCTTGGACAGAGCTTCAAATCCATCGCAGATAGGAAAAATTTAAGTTACAAATTGGTCAAGATCGGAGCTATTTGGTGTCGGGAGCACCCGCGTCTTTCGAGGCCTAGTCGGTCGAGCATCGACACAGCCAAGCGCTAACTTAGGAGGCACTAATCAAGCATAAACTTGCTGAGGGCGTGCAAGTTCACGCCATATGGTAAAGGCGGCCGATGGAACAAAAATTGTCGCGCCTCGAGCTTTGACAAAAAAAAGTGCGCCGTTCAGAGGAACGGCATCAGACAGACAGGCAGATCTTGTTTTCAAGGATCGATGGAACCTCTCCGAGACCGCATCCGGTCTCTTGAGGAAAAATGCGATAAATTTCTGGATATTCCACCGCGGCCTACTTTAGTCCTACGGTCCTTTCTACTCAGCAGGCACCCCGTCGGGATTTCCCGACATCTGCGGCTCTCTGGTGCCAGCAGCTCTGCGGTACAGCAGCTGCAGCACAACATACACACATTCCCTGTAACGCAGATAGACATCGGCGACGATTCTGACAATGCGGCGGAATGCAAAATCCCGACACAACATGGACACAGCTAACAGCGGCACATGTGCTGCAGTACATGGAGGTGTGCGGGCGTGTGTACTGTAGAGCAATACGCCTAGAACCTCTGTCTGTGTGACCCCCCGTGCATACACTTAGATCTGCAGAGAGCCTCCTCTTTACTGTTTACAGGAGCCTCTTGCAAGGCTTACCCTGCACACTGATCATTGCTGTTCCGTAACGGCCCGTTGCAGTCTCTTTGGGTCTACTGGGGTATTGCACTGCATTTTCTACTGCATTTTTGTACAGTACTTCGTAGATTATGCCACAGAGAACAAGGACTGCATCAGGTGTAGTCTAGACACAGCTCAGCGGTGGGCCGTACACCATACATACTGTATGGTGTGCTCGGCGTCGACGAAGCTGAACCCCGGCCTGAACCTGCACGTTTGTTCTTGGGGGCCGATACTGCTGTCACATGTAATGTTGTAACACGAGAATGTGCAGTACTATACTCCTGTACCATTACCTGCTGTGAAGCTTCTGCTCTTCCTTCTCCTGCTTCTTCTTGAGGCGACGCTCGCGGCGTTGCTCTCGGACAAGAATACCTGACGGCATGGTGTTGCTGGGGCGGAGCTTGTCTTGCTGTGTGTGGTGTTTGTGTGACAGGGGGTGGGGAGCAGGTCGCAGGCGAAAAGAGCGGTGAACCTGCGGTCGATTCGGGCGGCTGACTGCCGACGAGGACCAGACCGTTTCTGGGAACGGTTCTCTTGGGTCCAGCCTCCAGCCTCTTGTCGCTGGACTGTTAAACTCATTTTGTATGCACGCCTCGGTCGTTTTTGTGATTCTCGTTTCCTGCCAGTGCCCCCCCCCCACCCCCCCGTGCCAGTGCAACCCCGTGCGTTGTCAAACAGCGTTGTTGTGGTTTCATTGTCTAAGGACTTTGTCTTCACATCAAAGCATCATGCGGTCTCGGATTGTGGGCGCCTGTCTCTCTGGCTGTGCGTACGGCGTGCGCACCTCCTCCGCCTTTGCTTTCCCTCGATGCGGCCCAATTATGAGACTCCCGGGTGCCGCGGCCAATCACCAAGCTCGGGCCTACCGTCATGCGGCGGCGCGAAGAGGGAAAGAGAGCGGGGTGGGGTCTCTGCTGTCTTCTGCCGTGGAGGACGAAGTGGAGGTTGGGCAGGATTCTGGGGAGATGTTTGACGTCTTCTTGCCGCCGGAGGGTGGATCCCTCTCGGTGCTCAGCGAGCCCCCGCGGCCGGCGGGCTTCCGCAAGGCCAGGGGTCTCGTGCACGCTGACGGTGACTGGCACAGGAGCGTGCACATATGGCTGCATAACTCCAAGGTGATGGTGGAGTGCCTTGCTTGCGCTGAGGGCGTTGACTTGAAGAGGGCACAGGCGGGGACAGACGTCTTTACATGCGACACATGTTTGTTCCCACCCTTTGCTGTTACACCGGAAAACAGCGTAGGGCACCTGCTGTAGAGGAGAGAGACATGAACAGGGACGGCGACATGACACATCATTGCTAATCTCACATCTACACATCACCAGTGCAGTGTGAAGTTGGCAACGTTGAATGATAAATGAAAGCGATTGGGTCGTAAGCTTGCTACAATCTATATTGTACTGTTTGTTGTCCAGCTGGTGCGTACTACGTGCAGTACGCTGCATGGGAGCAAACTACTCCACATTACTCCTGTTGGGATATCCGCTTCGGACCAAGTACCAGGCGTATCGGTACACACGTCAACCAGCGGTCGACCAGAGAAGGATATTCACTGAAGAAATGTGTAAAGAGATACCTGTGACTTGGCATCACGCTACACGAGAATACTTTGGAGACTGACTCGCTCGTTGATTTTCCTCAATCGGCACCAGTTTTGATGCGTCATCTCTCTGGCACGCTGAATTTGATGCCTTCCCCAGACGACACAAACGCCGTCGGGCAACGGACGGCTCCGGGAGCAGAGCGTTTTATTCCGTCGAGAGCACAGCTCATGAAATGGTCGAAACCGCTTTGGCGCCCTTGCCCCTTCCCTCGCTCCCAAGCGCGGCTACTCACGCAGCCCCGCCACGATCGTTGCTGTGTGTTCGAACGCAGGGCGAGCTGGTGCTGCAGAAGCGGTCGTCCTCGAAAGGTACGGTTATAACAGTGGTAGACTGCAGGGGCGAGGAGCACCTGTGGCCCTATTCCCAAAGGGCGGGGTCATGCCATTTGTAGCAGACCAATTGCAAGTATATCCATCCTGACGACACATGGGTAGTTAATCACGCACCTCTGCAGTCACGCAGATGACCTGACTGGCCGTTGCCCCAATCGACGCGTTGCGAAAGTGGCGCAACCTGCACCTTGAAACAGAGTACGAGGCTGTGTGGAGTTGTTGTTGGAACACTAAAGCTCTATACTTCATGCAAGATGACATGGACGTCGTGAGTTCGTGCCGACTGTCACACGTTGCTTGTCTTGTGTTTATCTTTTGTGGTGAGCACGTTTTTTTTTTCATGTCTTGTCACCCTTGTGCACACTCCTGGCACAGCGTCCCCGGGTTTCACCGTAGGCGTGATCCGTGTGGTGCTGGACCACAGCCTGCCGTTAGTACTATTGTTTTATCCTCGCCGTTGACCCCCGGTGTGGCCTTAATATGTACCCACACCTGCCTCTCTCTCTCTCTCTCTCTCTCTCTCTCTCTCTCTCTCTCTCTCTCTCTCTCTCTCTCTCTCTCTCTCTCTCTCTCTCTCTCTCTCATTCTCTCTGTCTCTCTTAGTCTCTCTCTCCCTCTCTCCCTCTCTCCTTCTCTCCCTCTCTCTCTCCGTTGCATATCCAACTCGTTTTCCAATCATGCCTGGAAGCTTGCTGCAATCCAATCCCCTACCGATGCTCACCTTACTCAGCCCGACACGTTCTTTCTTCGATCGAAACAAACTCTACAATAGATACGTTTCCGGGGATGTGGGACGTTAGCGTGGGCGGGCACTTCACGGCAGGGGAAGAGAGCCTGGAGACGGCCATCAAGGAGACCGACGAGGAGCTGGGCTTGAGCTGCGACGAGAGCAGCCTGCGCTTCGTGTGCACGGTGGCCACCACAGCCAAGGGGAGCACCGACATGCACGGCGACTTCGTCTGCAACGAGTACAAGGTGCGCGCTCGGGCGAGCCAGAGGCCGCCGTGAGGGAATCATGCCCCCGAAGTGGTTGTTCCTTGTGTGCCTGCCGGCTGAAGAAACATGCCGCATGCTGCACGAGTCAGTACTTGCGGATCCGCCGGCGTAGAAACATTTACCGCGTGCTGCACGAGTCGGTACTTGCGGATCCGCGGGCTTAAGAAACACGCCGCGTGCTGCACGCGTCCAGTAGTGCCATAGGTGACACAAGACATATCACACCCCCCGTACCGATTTTCGGAGCTCGGTTTTTCTCCAGAGGATGGCGGTGCCGAAAATGGCGGCGTTGGAACCGTCTCGTTGAGAGCTTTCCGTTTAACGTATCGTTTGATGTCGTACATTATCCTCTTCGTGGTGGCGTGACTGAAAGTCAGTCCAGGGGATGTGGTAGCTGTTGTCGCCGACGGTAGTATGTAGTAGATTCCTTCGCGTACCGTGCTCGTTGCTGGTGTCGACAGCAGGGGTGGAGGTTACTTTCCGACATTGTGGCGTTCCGTAAGCGTGGAGTGTTCTAAGCTTTTTTCTTGGCCGCGGCAGTGACCCCCCGTCCACCAATCTCGCAAGAGGGCGGCGCCTGGTGCATGGAGACGTTGATGTGTTATGGCAAGGTTTCCTCGTCAAGGTTTCCCCGTCTCAGGTTGTAGTCAAGGTTTCCCCGTCAAGGTTAAGGCTGCTTGTGGACTACAACGACAACGCGCGGTGATATTATTACAGACTGATCGACAGGAGTGCGGGAGAATGCTCTGTAAGAGTCAGGGTTGTGGTTTCCAGGGGTGTGGGGCGCGGCCTAGCACGTCGCCACGGTCCACTTGGATCTGTTGTTGCTGAATTAGTTGATATTTCTCTCTCTCGCCCTCCCTCCCTCCCTCCCCCCCTCTCTCTCTCTCCCTCTCTCTCGTCCTCTCTCCTTTCCTCCCTCTGTGTCCTTCCCCCTCTCTTCATCTATCTCTCTCTCCCCCTTTCTCTTTTGTGCCCTTGCAGGACATCTACCTGCTTCGGCACGACGGACCAGTGCAAGACCTAAAGTTTTCGCCCAGCGAGGTCGAAGACGTCAAGCTCGTGCCGATGCAGGCGCTCAAGGAAGCTTACGAGGCCCAGGTTGGTCTGTCTATCAAAGTCCCAAGCCAAATGTTAATGTTTCGCAGCGGTCTTTGACGCCATTTTTTTTTTCACAGGCGATGGTAGAGGCCATGATCGGACCAGTGACGACGGCGAACTTGCCGTCCCAATACTGTGAACCGTCGTTCCCGATCACCTAGAACCACGCGCGGTTGCGTCTGTCCACACTCTCTCTTTCCCTCTCTCTCTCTCTCTCTCACTCTCTCTCGGTCTCTCTCTCTCTCCGCCTCTGTACCTTCTGAATGTTCTCGCCCTCTCTGTCTGCCTGTCTCTCTGTCCCTCTGCCTGTCTGTCTCTCGCTCCCCCCCCCCCTCTTCACTCACTCGATTTCCCGGCACCACTAGGACCCAACGTACATCCCGCGACCGGACTACTACGTCGAGCCCCTCTTCAAGGCTTTGGAAGAAGCCCTCTAGCACCCCCAACGTTGGTGCCTACACCTCACCGTTGCCGTGACACACGACGATTGATTGCGTAGGGCCCGCGCTCACGAACCTCTGATTTTTGCCGAGGCTCGTTTCTTACTTTGTCTACGGGGTGGACTGTACCCCCACGGCGACTATGTTGGCCTTGGTTGGACTGACGATATTGGTGTTTGTGTAGGCTTCTTGGCTGAGTACATGTTCTTTTAGGCCAAGTTCTCCTCTCTTGGGAATTTTGAGGCTCACGTCCTCAACTACCGCGTTTCTTAAGTGAGGGCCGGTTCTGTACGAGGAGCAACTGTTACGCGTGAGGGAACCGGAGTTCCTTCGGAGGGTTGACCCCCCTTGGGCAGACGTCCCTCTGCACCCCTCCGAAGCCAGGCGGGGTAGAGGGTATTTCTTACTCTTGTTTGGGCCACAGAATGACTTTGATTTTGTCGATACGAACTACTAGGGAGGTGAGATTTGTTGAATCACAATGTAGGCGCCACGAGGACTGGTCGCCGTGGAGGTGCTCGGTTTACGCCGTTGAGATCGCATGACGAGCTCTACGACCCGGCCGCCGTCATGTCATTTTCCGTGGCGTCGTGTGCAACCATATAGAAGCGGAGCGCCGCAGTCACGTGCCATCCGAAACCTAGGTCCTAGTCTATAGAGGGCTCCTTCATTTTTTTGCTCCAGGCTCCGCACCATGACACCTAAACACCCTGCTCGCGTGGCTCAGCAAGCGCCTCTCCTTTTCGAATGTCTCCCACAAATGGGTGGAGACGGGTGAGGCTATCGTTTTGCTAAAAGTATATGGCAAGTCCTGTGCAGGCCGGCATGCGTGTGGGTGTAAAGCACGGATACATTAATGATTAGGTCATCGTGTTGGTACGAGCAGATGGCCAGTCCTGTGGAGGACGGCATGCCTGTGGGTGTAAATCACGGATCTGTCAATGATTAGGTCATAGAGTGGGTACGAGTAGATGGCCAGTCTTGTGCAGGACGGCATGCCTGTGGGTGTACATCACGGATCTGTCAATGATGAGGTTATCGTTTTGCTACAAGTAGATGGCAAGTTCTGTGCAGGACGGCATGCCTGTGGGTGTAAAGCACGGATCTGCTGATGGAGTCGAGAAGCACGCATGGACCCCGTAGCCAAGAAGGGGACCAGATTAGTCGTAAAATACAACGCAGGTAGCGTTTTGCCCTTCGTCTTGCGGGATCAGTCGGCGCGTTTGTCTGCGAGCGGAGCTCTGTAGCCGCCGCCTCCACGCAACCCCGATTTAAAGCGACAACAAAAACAGGCAAAAAATGAAAGTGGCGATGCGAAGCAAGGTGTCCGGTAAATCAGCTTTTCTACACCGTGCCCTACGTTGGCAACGCCATGGCACTCGTAGGTACTTTCAAAAATTAAAGGTACATATTTTCGTCCACTTCCTTCGACGGACCTGTCCTTTCCACCCTGCCGCGTTGCTGCGAATCGTACGAAAGGCGGCGGAATTTATTGGAGACGGCCACACTTATTGCTTGTTCGACACACGACTGCTGTACGTCCGAGAGACGAGCATCTCGAGCCTCACAGGCTTGTACATCGCGCCCCCACCACACACATCTTTGTGCATCAAGCACGCACGCACACCGAATGTTCTTGCCGGAAGTGGTGCTCCAGCAGCGTCTGAACCGCAAACACACCCAAAAAAACTTTCCCGGCGTGCTCAAGCTCATGATCACCTAAAATAGTGTTTCGTACATGACACCGCAATATTGTAGAGCGCTACGTATCATTCCAGCACATGGAAAAATCCAAAACTTCCCGGTTTACCCCTGCCTCTCCCAAAATCAGACACCTCGCTCCACATCCCAAAACAATAAAATTATATTACCGTGCGAAGAGAAACGACCTCTACGCTTGTTTTTTTGTCTTCCCCTCGGCACCTTCCCCCCACATTGGGCGCACGCACGCCGCGCACAAATCTCAAAAGCCAATGCTCCACCAAAACGTCAGAGTACCCACGCTCTCTCTCGCCCTTGACGTATTCCCGTGCAGAACGAAGGCAATGCGACATGCCTCCGCGGGTTAACTAAACCTTACTTTCCTTACCGCCCCAGCATCTATAAGTCTGCACATCACGTCAACCTTTCAACGGCCACAAAAGCACCGTCACGGTGACTGTACTGTACCAAGCAAGGGAAACGAAACCCGTGCGGTGCCGGCAAGCAAGCATACCGTTTGTGACACAAGATACCACACACCCTGGATCGACTTTCAAAGCTCCGATACTCCACGACGAAGAGGATGCACAAAATCATCGTGTGGCACGTTTTTGGAAAATACGAAAATACTCTCCGCGAGACGGTTCCAAAACCGCCATTTTCGGCAACGCCTGCTTTGGAGTAACCAGGCTTAGCAAAACGGTCCGGGGGGGGTGGTATCTAACGTCACTTAATCTACAATAACCTTGGAAAATATATATATTGGTCTCTTGGCCTCCACCGAAAACAAACGAAACGCGCGTGTACACATTAAAGCGCTACTGTACCTCAGGAAAAATGGTGCCCTGGCGTACCCATCCATGCTCCCCTCGCTCACACCCAGTGCCGCGAGCGAATGTGTTAGAAAGCAAAGTAGGTGCTAGAAAGCAAAGTAGGCCGCCAACGTCTACAAGACCCACATTAAAAGGAAGGAAGACACAAGACATGCGCGAGGAGAGCTTGGCCCGCAATCTATCGATCTACAAACTGCTAGCGCTGTTCCGTCCACACGAACTGTGTCTGCTGTGCCGACAGATCGACAAGACTCGAAACCGTGCCCCGTAAAAATGTCGAAATCCTTGCAGCATTACAACATACCCTCAGCGGTTCCATCGGAAAGCATCCGTCTCCCAACTTCCGCCTTGCTACAATTCCCGGGGCACGACAAAATATGTACTATTGCTACGGATGGCACACGGGCTCCTTGGTTGCCCTGTGTCTACTACGGCTGCAGGTTGCCATGCGTAGACTGACGCCCCAACGTGCAAATCAACAACAGCAGCGCCGTATAAGTCAAGTCGTGATGGTACTGTAAAAAGTTTATCTACAACAAGAGCGACACCCAGCAGCGGTGTCCTCAGCGATCACAGTCAAGACACTACCGCCGCAGAAGCACCGCACTCCCCCCTCCCCTCAATTGACTACTTATGCAGAAAGACACAAAAAAAAATCGATGCAGAAAACGGTCGGCTCTGCAGGCTTGCTTTGGTTCCCCCCTTGCCATGCATGGTCGCGGGAAGATCGAGATACCCCGACCGAACACTCTCGCCCTTTCCGGGTTCATTCTTTTCGCGCTGACGCTGCCTTCACCAGAATCACTTCTGGACTGCTTTTTCGTCGAACATGAAGGTGACAAACCTGGCGGAAGGCGGAAGGGGCGAAAAAAAATTGCAAAAAAACACACCGCAAAAGGGGGGTGGGTGAGGAGAAGAAACCAATCTACGCGGAAGCGACGTCAGTCAGCGTTGACTCTCGTTTTTTGGTCCCGTTGCACGACTATTTGTAGGGCCACATTTTTCGCGCAAGGGCGACGGCCAGCCTTTTTCCTTGTACGCCTCCGCCAAGAATCCGGCTTACCACACAAACCAGGACAACCCCCATTCCGGTAAAAAAAAATACGGCGGTACATTACAAACTATCACTCAGACCCGACCTATTTCTATCTGGAATGCCGGTTCGAGAGAGTCTACGTGCTCCGCGCAACCCCTGGAGAGGGGGAAAACCCGGGGACGGCGAGCGTTGAAAAATTTTGCTGCCCCGCGCACTCCCCGGTAGCAGGTGAACGTGCTGGCTGGCCGAACTTCTCTCCATAAAAGTGGTGATCCCTCCCGAGCAGGCTGGCTCATGAGAGCTCGGGGTAATGTCGTCGAGGGGCGGTGCAAGATGAAAACGAAAAGCAGGCAGCAGGACCGACTCACAGCTTCGCTGTGACGTTTCTCACACAGCTCAGCTCACACAGCTGGCCATGTTTTGACTCGGACAGCCCGGCTAACCTCAAACGAACCAAAAAGAAACATCTACTTTACCAATTTGGAAACCAGTCTTCGAACGCAGGTGGCACAAGATGCCACACAACCTGGGCCGACTTTCAAAGCCGGACTACTATTGTACCTCCACGGCGAAGAAGATGCACAAATGAAATGAAACGTTGCGTCTCGGAAAAGCTCTCTCTCGACGAGACGCGTCCCAACGCCGCCTTTTTCGTCACCGCCACTCTTTCTGCTGTGGAGAAATCGAGCTTTGAAAAATCGGTCTAAATAGGGGGTGTGGTACGTCATGTCAACTGCGAGACGTCGAGCCCGAACCCTTTCCTGCTACACAACACACATCACCGAGACAGTAGCTTAGTGTGAAGTTAATGCCACCGCTGCAGTACGTCACAAAGGGGTAGGTGTGTCCGTTTGTTGCTGTTGAAAAGGTATGAGCGCAGGGTGGTGCGACCGTGAGGGCTATATTGCCGGCGCTTCGATTCATCCCCCGCTCTATCTTTCGCGAGAGACGCGATCTTCGTTTGGGGTACTCGGCACCAGATAATCATCTGCGGGGACTCCGGGGACATGATACGCCCCCCCCCCTCCCCCCCCCTTCCC